TGCGCACGCGGTTAAATATTTTTGGGGACGGCTTATTTTCAGGGGACAGCTTATTTTAGCACATGCACTCAAAAGCCCAATCGGGCTTATTATCAGGGGATGTCTCATTTTCGGGGAAACAGGGTACATTTCCAGTTCTTAAAGAATACTTAACTGAGAAGAAAAAAATGTGTCCTAAAAACAATTTGTCAGGCCAAAAAACATCTCTGACAAATTGTTATTGGTCCTTCCATTATGCCCATCTATGTAGTAAATGGGTTATAGCATCCTTTGAACTTGCTGGCATACACGACCTTCCCCCACTGTGCTTTCTTCTGTATTGATATAGATCTGTGGAAATCTGAAACACAGTTTTTGGTTTTATGACATTCGTGGATATATGATATTGGGAATCATTGTGGAATAATCTGGTTTGAGAACTTCTTCCATATGTGTTACCTGTTGAGGAATGCACTCTTTTGGGACTGTTGAAAGATGGTTTTCAAAAGACAACTGGACTGTTTTTTTCCTTGAAGAAGAACAAAATGTTTTTTTTCCCACCCAAGAAACTTGGTTAGTTGTGATTTGGGGTGGGTGGGGGCAGGGTGGATTTGATTTAAATCGAGTTGATTTAAATCACGATTTAAAACATGATTTAAATCACTAGTAAAAAGGCTTGATTTTAACCAACTCGATTTAAATCATAATTTTTAAAGAGCAACTGTCATCTCTGCTACTCCTTTGACCCACTGTTGACTCACCGATAGTCCCAGTGTTGCAGAATATACAGCCTCATGCTACATAACTAAGCTCCATTTCATGCTGAATAAACTAAATTATTTATGTATCTTAAATAGAAAACTATATTACGATAGACTTTTACCCCAAAAGTTTTTTTATTAAAATAAATTCGATAAAAATCAAAAAAATCCGATTTAAATAAAAAAAATCTGATTTTTTTTTAATTTTATTTTTTTTAAATAATTGATTTTTATCCACCCTGGGTGGGGGTGGGAATGGAACGGGTGAAATCCAGCAGGTTCTGACAGGTTCTGGAGAACTGGTAATGGAAATTTTGAGTAGTTCGGAGAACCAGCAAATACCGGCTCTGGCTGGCCCCAGAGTGGGGTGGGAATGGAGATTTTGCAATATTCTTCCCCAAGGAGTGGGGAGGGAATGGGGATTTTGCAACATCCTTCCCCTGGAGTGGGGTGGAAATGGAGATTTTGCAGTATCCTTCCCCTGCCATGCCCACCAAGCCACACCCACAGAACCGGTAGTAAAAAAAATTGGATTTCACCACTGGAATGGAAGAATAGGTTCTGACCAGATGGTGGGGGTGGGGGGAGATGGAAGGATTGTGTTTCTTTCCCGTCTCCTACTGCGGAGTTGTGCCTTCGTACAGGCAGATTTTATTAGACCCATAATAGTTTTTCATGTACTGCAACTTGCATTATATAATTTATTTAGTTTACTCTGATAAAGGCTTTTTTTCTTTATCAGCCTTTCTTACTATCGTTAATTGCTAAGTAGCATTACAGGATTTTATCTGATGCAGAATTCATTTAGCTATTATGAAATATGAGTATCCAATAGAACAGAATACGTGTAGTTCAGAGTTGAACCGTGCAAGGTCCTTGCAAGGTACTCTCTGAGCTTTTTTGTTTGCTTACCGACCTATTAACTCACTGTGTAACATTGTCAGTGAGACTGAGTGTGGTGTTTGCTCCCCTTTTTTCAACCCAGTAGCTTGTTCTGCCAGTGTTGGTGGAGATGGGATTTTCCTGGTAGTTCCTTGATTAGGTTATTGTTTTCTGCTTGATTGTTTGTCTGGGTCTTTCTTAATCCCTGCTTATCTAGGTGTTGATTGCTGGAGAAGATATGTTCTGGTCTTTTTGTTTCCTTCTTAGCTTTTTTATTCTCTTTTTTGAATGGGATGTAAATGTGGTTTATCTCTTTGTTATCTATTGATGGCTGATTTCTGCAAGCAAAAGCAACCAAGCTCAGAGAGCACCAAGAATTCAACAATAGAAGTATCTAGAAAGTATTTTTTCTGACCTCATACTCAGAACTGAGGCTTGTAAACCACAGAGAATGATGTTTAAAGTTAGTTTAGGCACATTTTCTTAATCAATAACAGGGATATTTAATCAGTTGGTTAATTTAAAGAGTGGTTTCGTGATTAGCATAATCTTAAAATAAACAAAATAATTTTGTAAGAATGTTCAATAATATGATCATCTCCTCCATGTAATTTTATTTTAACTTTATATATAATTGTGCTGAGGTCATGATTTTAACACCCCCTCCCCCGTGTGCATTCTCTTGTTGTTCCATTAATGAAAATCATTGGGTCAGTGTATATCTATTGACCAATAATTTCTCTGAGCTGCATTTTTTAGTAGGGCGCTGTTATATCGACCTGGGATAAATCAATTTAATTGTGGAACAAATTATATAATATTTAGTTGCTATCATCTAGTTAAAACAAGGTCTTCCCTTATTTTTCAGGGGTTTGCATACTTAGATTTCTATAATTTATTTTTGTATTTTAAAATATGATATTGTCCTTTAAACTTGCTAACATGTCTATTGCCAAAGTGGGGTAATGTCCAATCAAAACAGATCAACTTGGATTTAATGCACCTTCTTAAATCTCTCATACTGAAATCATTAGACCTTAATGTTTAACATTGATTAAAAATGACTTAGTAGACAATAGCAGATACTAATTAAGTATTAAAAGGAGCCTATGTAGAGATATAAATTATGCAGTAGAAATGTTATCTACACTCTTTAGGGATAGCTAAATAATGATAAATTATCTGATTAGTAGAAAAAACATTGTTTTTTTTCTCTTTGGATTATTACTGTATATACTGAAACAGCTTCCCCCAACCTGGAAGATTTCCAAAGGTATGGATTTCTACTTTTAGAATTTCTCAGCTTCTGTGTCTTTTCTTAAAATTTTGAGAGCTAAATCCCAGACATTTGGAAAGTCCAAGATGGTATTTTGAACAGTATGAATAAATATCAACATGATCTTGGAGCCCACTTCAATCTACCAGGTACTGGCAATCATTTTTCTCTTTCCAGATTTGGATTTCATACACATGGCCCTATAAATATAAATTAAATATAAATATATATTTGTAGGGCCATGTGTATGGAATTCTCTGTCATACCCAGGTTTTTGTAGTTTGCTTCATGTTATGGCAATATATATTTGCACCATGAACACTGAAGTAAATTAATACATGTGTCCGTGACATAGTGGTAATACTTTAGAAATTGTTATCAAAATAACATTTGCCCTACATTTCTTTGAAAGAAATGTCTTCTGTACTTCCTTCCAAAATTGTTGGGGATGAGCACAATGGAGGTATAACAAATAGAATAGAATAGAATAGAATAGAATAGAATAGAATAGAATAGAATAGAATAGAATAGAATAGAATAGAATAGAATAACAGAGTTGGAAGGGACCTTGGAGGTCTTCTAGTCCAACCCCCTGCTTAGGCAGGAAACCCTACACCACTTCAGACAAATGGTTATCCAACATCTTCTTAAACACTTCCAGTGTTGGAGCATTCACAACTTCTGGGGGCAAGTTGTTCCACTGTTAAATTGTTCTCACTGTCAGGAAATTTCTCCTTAGTTCTAAATTGCTTCTCTCCTTGATTAGTTTCTACCCATTGCTTCTTGTCCTGCCCTCAGGTGCTTTGGAGTATAGCTTGACTCCTTTGTGGCAGCCCCTGAGATATTGGAAGGTGGTTGATTGAGCAATAACAGATCCCATCTACCCCTCTCCCACTCCACCTCCACCCTCCTCCATGTGTTTTTGGTTTTAATATTTGTTTTTAACTTTTTATGTTTTAGATTTTATGTAACTTTGAGCTGCCCTGAGTTACCCTATGGTAACATGGGTGCCAATACATTTTATAAATAATAATACTAATAGTGGATCACCTTATCAGTGTCTGCAGCAAAATCTCACAGACTGATTATATACAACATTATATAACCGAGTTGCCAAAATCATATATTGGAAGGTTTACAACTTATTGACTATGACTGGGGTTAACGTGGTTCTTTTTGGATACAGAAGATCATTCCTGACTTAATTTTTTCTTAGGGGATCTAGTTTTGGCTTCATCTTTGCCTTTGATTAATGAGACATCTCCCAGGGATGCTTTTACTGCTTAGTAATGAAATCTGATCTCAACTCTCATTTTTTTCCTGTATCCCCAAGTCTATGCATTCAACTTATATTCTTTTTCAACCTGGGTCTATACATTTACATAAATGAATGGTTCACTACACTCAAGTTGGAAACCTCTGTTTGGTTGAATATAATTTACTCTTCTGTTCAGATATTATTATTATTGCATAAAAGACTAAAACCAACTTCTGTACATGTAAAAACAAAATCCCATATACAACTATAATACATTATTTGCAGGGTTACAATACATAGTTACAATATACTGTATCTCTCAATGTTAATAAACATTACTGGAGTTTAAAGGATTCATCTTGGTTAGAAAGAAGCTTTGAAATTCAATTAAGTCATCATACTTGGTTCAACCAGTCATTTCTTGACTGTGTCCTTAAAGGGCTTTTTTTTAATGAAATGTCTATAACAGCTGTTAAAGTCGTTTGTTATTCTTTAAAGTACTACAACATTCTCCTATTGTTGCAAAGAATACACATACGGTAGCTTTCTCCTCTGAAATTTTTCAATGTAAATGAGTGTCCAGAGGCATTTACACAAATTTCCAGACTTCTCATCTCAGAGGTTTCTTCCACAATTAAAATATCACCGGATATGTCAGCTGTTTGTGATTTGGGGCTTAGGCATGAGTGGCATAGTATTTTCATTAAAGTCCATGGTGATTAATTCAATTGCAGGAGATTACGAGATTCAATTAATGAAAGGCTGAAAAAGCAAGAGAGAGGGAATTTGTTACGTAATAAATATTTGAAGTATTTTTTTCATTGCCGACTCTTGGATTTTGCAGAACCCAAAGACAGGAATCGTTCTAGACTAGAACTCAAGACTCATCTGTTCTGGACAAATGGAGACCTTTGAGAATTCTCATCAGGAGAGTAAAGAGAGGTGATACTGTTTGCTTGCTTTCTTCGTTTCATTAAAATACATCTTAACATGGATGTAGTCTTGGGGTACAATCTGCATTTACAGGTAGTCCTCAACTTATAACAGTTCATTTGCTGATCACTCAAAGTTACAATGGCACTGGAAAAAAGTGACTTATGATCGTTTTTTTTTTCAAACTTACGACCAAACCTTTTGTGACCTTCCAACAAGCCAGATCAATGGGGAAGCCAGATTCATAACAACCTGGTTACTAACTTAACACCTGCAGTGATTCACTTAATAACTCTGGCAAGAAAAGTCATAAAACGGGGCGAAACTCACTTAACAAATGTCATAGCAATAGAAATGTTGGGCTCAGTTGTGGTCATAAGTCAAGGACTGGTTATATCTTTACGTATTAAAGATACAATATAGGTGCACATCTACGTTGGAAAGGTCACTTTAGAACAGGAGTGTTTTTGGCAGTGACGGCCACTTGCAGTCCTCTGCCAGTGAAAATGGAGCTCGAGGAGGTTGTGCACAGCCTCCCCCCCAGTGCCATTTTTGCTGGCAGAGGACTGCAGGAGGCTGTCGTGGCTGAAAACGGAGCCTGGGAATGCCGCGTGTGGCCCTCTCAAGCTCCACTTTTGCTAGCAGAGGCACCACGTACCTGTCCTTCACTTTTTCCAGGGCGGTCCCACGGGCCAGATCTAAGCATCCCTGCTTTAAAAGAAATAAGAGGATAAAAGCTTCACATCCATAGTTTTTGAATTGTGTAAAATTATTTCTAAAAGGCTTCTGGATCCTCATGCCCAGGTTTTGGAAAGGATATTGAGAACCAACAGGAGGGCAAGAAATGGGACTGTGTAAATGACCCAGTCATATCAGAATATCAATATCAGAATATCATTTGCAGAGGAATCTCAGTTTGCTTTAATTCAGTCTAATTTTTTTTTTATTAAAAATTGAAGATGGGTATCGGTGATCATAGTTTCAGAGGGAAACAAAAAAAAAGGAATCCTAACTCTTATGGTGTTACTACAAAATGCAATTCTTTTTTTTTTAACTTTGCAGTGCCCCTCCTGGATTTACTCCGTTGTAGGCTATTATATCATACATTCTGTGTGCAGTTACACAGTGTATGTATATGTTTATTTATTCCCATTTATATGATCACCCATCTCATCCATGCAACTCTGGGCCAATGCTTCAAGTGACATCATCTTTGTCTGTGGTTTTCGTGTCCATAAAATCCATACACTCCTGGTTAGAGGGAATTAATATCGAACAAATTAACCACATTCATATATCATGTTAAGTCAGACTGATATGTCAATTCATTGTTGGTTTGTTTAAGTTTCCTAGTTAGGTTAGGGTAAATGTAGCATGTGATTTCCAAACGGAGAATACCCACTCTTTCCTGAGCAGACAACAGCCTTAAAAAATCAAATTGAAATGTAGAACTAAGAATGACAACTGTTTGCTAAGCAGTTGAATTAATGCTCTATATTAAACCATTCTTGTGGCTTACTATCCACATGCCTTAGTGTCTGTGCTGAATCAATTCAGAAGACTTTAATAAGTTGGCTTGTCAATAATATGAAAACAAAGAATTAAAGAGCAGTAATACAGAAGAATCAGCAGGAGTGGTGCGGTGGCCTAGAGGTGGAGCTCTCGCCTCACAATCAGGAGTCTGTGAGTTCGATCCTAGGTAGAGGCAGATATTTCTCTCTCTTTGCACACATTTGCTGAACAAAACTCCGCATTGGTGACAGGAAGGGCATCCGACCATTAAAACGCTTTGCTTGGTCCATTCAGTTGCCCAGACTCCACCCTGCAAGGGATTATGGGGTCGTTAAATGAAGATGAATGCAGAAGAATCAGCAATGATAAATGGAGCACAACCCTAAATGCATGCCGAAGTACCAATGCTGATTATCTAACTTATGAATGAGAGTTTAACACAGGCAATACCAGATATAGACACAGATATACACCTCCATGCACATTACCTCTGATGAATGTAGAGCCCCACAATGTTATTTAAATTGTAGGTTTGTAGGGAAGAAAATGGTGCAGATTTAAAATATGTTAACCATTGGTGCCATCTTAGAGACAATGTTTTCTAAGTGCATGTAATTGCATCTTTTGGTAGACTGTCTAAGGACAATACCACCAACTGTGGGAAACAGACAAATAACAGTCAGATTCGTGAAACCGATAGACCCTCCAAGCGGCTTCGAAGGAAAAGGAAGCTGCTTTTAGATTCTGAAGAGGAAGAAGAAAATGGAGACGAGGAGGAGGTAATTAAATGTGATTTCTTTAATTGAAACAGTAGCCAAAAGGCTATAATGAAACTTGTAGTGATAAGAATTTACCACGTAAATTTAATTAACCCTTTTACATTTAAGTAATATTTTTAGAAATATTACTTATTGTGTCAAACAAACCAAACCAAACCAAACCATACACATTGTATACCTATAAGTCTGATAACATTGTGGTTTTACCTTAAAACAAAAAGGGGGAAAAGAAGATTATTGGACACATTGTATCCATATAAATCTGATAACATTGTGATTTTACATTAAAACAAAAGGGGAAAAAAGATTATTGGAAATCTTGATGCTTTACCCTTTTATCAGGAAAAAAAATTATTGCAGAATCAGATTTTGAAAAGCAACACATACCACCATTTCACTACTGGAAATTAGAAATTAGTTGACCTGTTGAAATTTAGCCATCAGAGAACACTACTGCATTAGAAAGTTTAAAATTGTTATTTTGCTCTAAATGGCAGATAATGTATTTCAATGTATTTAGTTTATTTGTTTCATTTATATTCGATATTTCTGCTGGCAGTTTAAAATACTAAGCAAAAAATAAACATTGCAAAAGAGTGAAAATGATGTTCGATGATATATGAAAAATGTCAGTGTTTTTTCATCTGGTTTGTATTATCTAGGAAAAGAATAAATTGAATCCGAAAAACCGCAAGAATGCAAAATCAATGAAGCAAGGTAAGGGTGCGAAATTGATCTTTAACTATTCCATAGCAAAATGCTGCTATAAATTGAGTACTTTGGCAACCTCTGTAATAATACCCAGAGTACTAATGTTACAAAGAGCATTCCATCAATTTTACACTTATCTTTATAGTCTGTGAAATGTATTACTTGTAATCCTTGACTTACAACCATTCATTTAGTGACCATTTGAAGTTACGACATTGAAAAAAGTGACTTATGACCATTTTTCACATTTATGACCGTTGCATGTTGCAGCATCCCCATAGTCATGTAATCAAAATTCAGACACTTGGCAACTGGCATATATTTACGACTGTTGCTGTGCCCCAAGATCATGTGATCCCCTTTTGTGACCTTCTGACAAGCAAAGTCAATGGGAAAGCCATACTCACTTAACAACCATGTTAATAACTGCAGTGATTCACTTAACAACTGTGGCCCAAAAGGTCCTAAATTGGAGCAAAACGCACTTAGCAACTATCTTGCTTAACAATGGAAATGTTGGACTCAATTGTGGTCATAAGTCAAGGACTGCCCATATTAGAAGGGCTACAATATTAGAACGTTTCCCTTCATGTCATCTGGCCGCAGTCTCTTCTGTGAACAGTAAACGATATATGCAGTCTTACGCTCTCTCCCCTCCAAATTGCCAAAATTGTTTGTTTATAAATAAACAATAAAACACAAGTGCAAAATTTGAAATACAGAAAAAAAAAACCCAAACCTGAGAGAAGAGGCTATCAGATGCTTTCTGCAAGCCATAGCTATTCCTAGAAATTTGACAGACTTTACAATATTTGTCCAAGTTAAATCTTGTAAAGAAGGAAGGTTGTGAATTTGTTGACAGAAAAAGACAACTAAAATTTCCGATAATTGGGTTTTTGAGTGAGGTGTTACAAATGGGCAGTATAACAATATATATATAAATTGTAGATATAGTATTATATTCCTACTTACTTTTAAGTCCCATTCCAAAGAATTGAATCCTGAGTAAATATATAATACGAGTTTGTGTTGTAAATGTTATAAATGAGAAGATTCACGAATCCCCTAAAAAGAAGGGATGATCATGGCATTGGACTGTGATTTTTGAAATCTCCTATCCAGCTATTGTGATGAGAAGGTTAAGTCTATTCAAACAAATATTCACATGATGAGTAGAATGAAATATATATATAATCCTCTGTTCAATACATAAGTGTTCACTTTTAAATGTGATAATGCCAAAATGGTAAAATACATTGTTGTATCACAATGCAAGCATTAACTATCCTGTACATTTTCATTGCACACAATTGCACAAGTATATTATGACAAGTGTGCTGTTGCTTGTCCCACGTTACTCTTTCCACAGATCTTTGTAGTTTCATACTCTTGTCTCCCAGAAGCAATTTTTTTTTTCATTCTTTGTTTGATTTCTCAGCTATTCCTGCAAAGAAGAATGTTTGGAACTGGATGACATACTTAGAAGAAGAACGAATGCCAGCTGCTCCCTTGAAACTTTTCAAAGAGGTTTGTAATCTCCTAGGTGTTTTCTTGTGGATGAATATTGAACACAGGTGGTCCTCGACTTACAACCATTCGTTTAGTGACTGTTCAAAGTTACAACGGCACTGAAAAAAGTTGATGTATGGCTGTTTTCACCCTTAAAACCGTTGCAGCATCCCCACGATCATGTGATTGAAATTGAGACGCTTGGCAATTGGCTCATATTGATGACAGTTGCAGTGTCCCAGGGTCATGTGATCACCTTTTGTGACCCTCTGACAAGCAAAGTCAATGGGGAAGCCAGATTCAATTAACTGTATTACTAACATTAGAACTACAGTGCTTCACTTAACAGCTGCGACTAGAAAGGTTGTAAAATGGAGCAAAGCTCATTTAGCAACGGTCTTGCTTTGCAACAGAAATGTTGGACTCAATTGTGGTTGTAAGTCAAGGACTACCTGCATGTGAATATCTCTGCATTTGCCTTTGAACCAGAATTTTTTGTGGGTGGGAAAACTAAAGAACCAGATCCTGTAATGAGATGGAATGTGTTAAGGATATTGAAATCTTATACATCTACTCCCTTAAAGAGCTCTTTTCTTGGAAGCAATAAGACCAAGGTGACTTCTTCAGTGCTGCAGACAAACAAGCCTGAGTCCATCATAGTTCTATGAAATCTACAGAAGCCCAAAACAGCCTTGTCGTCTTTATTATTATTATTATTATTATTATTATTATTATTATTATTATTATTATATGGGAGTTTCACACTGGTTTTGCATCTTTCCAAATAAGGTTTGTTGCAGTGTGGAAATTCATTTTTTTTAACTACCTGTTCTGTGGGCGTGTCTTGGTGGGCGTGGTGTGTCTTGGTGGGCGTGGTAGGGGAAGGATACGCAAAATTCCCATTCCCAGATGGAGGTGGTATTTGCCGGTTCTCTGAACTACTCAAAATTTCCACTACCAGTTCTCCAGAACCTGCTGGATTTCACCCCTGGTCTGTTGATGTGGAGATGAGTATTCCTTCACCTCCTTCTTCATTCTCTTTCCTTCTCTTGCATAATTGCCTGTAGAAGAGAGATAGAATAGAATAAAAAATTTTATTGGCCAAGTGTGATTGGACACACAAGGAATTTGTCTTGATCCATATGCTCTCAGTGTCCATAAAAGAAAAGATACGTTCATCAAGATACTAGTTTTCTCATGGCATCCAAGCAGGGAACACACATCTCTGCACTCCTTACGAGTGCTTGAACCATAAAGATTTATTAAATCTTCGCCCTGCATTTACTTTGAGTTCAGTAGAGAGAAGTTGCAACTAGGGTCAAGGTTTCTTGTTGGGAGGAAATGGTGGGCATCAGAAAGAAGGAACAAGACAAACCTCTTATCAGTTTTTGCCTGGAAAGGGATTGAGTGCAAGCTGGGGTGTGTGTGTGTGCTTTATTGTGCATCTTGCTTGTTAAAAGGATAGTATGTGAATTCACCATTGTAATCTTCACGTTTAATTTTTACCCACAACCCCTGTTTTAATTTGTGTCTATGAAATTGCTCAACATCAGGATCATATCTCAGCCAGCAACTGTGTAAAGCTAGTTTTCAGCTTTGGTAATTAGCATAGTGCTGACATTAATTGGTCCTTGACTTTTAGCATGTTGTAGATTATCTTATTAAAAAGTAATCATTACAAGTGAGGGTACAAGTAGCAGCCAATTGCCATATCTAACAATATGCGCAAAACCAAATCATAGAAAATGTGAACATAGCATCCTTCCCGTCCATGCTAAGTTATTTCAATTTCTTCAAATAAAATGGAAATAATAGAAAATGCAGCATTGGGAAGAATCTTGATTTGAACCATATTTCACTGCCAGTTTTTGTATGTAAAGCTCAGCTTCTTAGAGGAATTTTCAAAAACATTTTTTATCTTTCTTATATTGCTATTTTATGACATCGTAAGCTGTCCAGAGTCACTTGATAGTGAGATGGGCAGCACTTAAATTGAATGAATGAATGAATGAATGAATGAATGAATGAACGAACAAACAAACAAATGAGCAAGATTTTAAAAAGTCTTTCAGCTGTCAGCATTTTATTTAATGTTTGCCTGAGTCCAAATTTCAGAATAATACTGTCTCTTGCTCTGATGCTTCTCCAGGTCAGATTCAGTAATTTAGTTCAGACACTATATTATATCATGGTGTGAGCTAACTAAAATTTAGGATATGAAGCCATTGTTAGGGTATCCAAGTGTATAACTGTCAAATTAAACATCATAGCAATTTGCCTCCATTTCCCCCTTTTCTATTTAACTTCTTAGATTTATTTCCATCTCTAGAGTGTAGCAGTCTCAGAGTATAAGGTAGTCCTCGACTTATAACCATTCATTTAGCGACCATTTGAAGTTAACAACAGTACTGAAAAAAGGACTTATGACCCTTTTTCGCACTTACTACCATTGCAGCATCCTTGTGGTCACATGATCAAAATTCAGACGATTGTGAACTGGTTCACATTTACGACCGTTGCTGTGTCCCAAAATCACGTGATCCCTTTTGCGGCCTTCTGACAAGCAAAGTCAATGAGGGAGCCAGATTCACTTAACAGCCGTGTTACTAACTTGACAGCTGAAGTGATTCACTTAAGAACTGTGGCAAGAAAGGTCATGAAATGGGGCAAAATTCATTTAACAACTGTCTTGCTCTGCAAAAAGTTGGGCTCAATTGTGGTTGTACGTCATAATTGTATCATAACAGCACTCTGTGTTTTTACCAGTTAAAAAATGAACATTCCATGGATTGTCATTAAGGCATCATTTTAGACTAGAAGCACAAGTCTGTCAATTCAAACACAGCACTAACTGATAATTAAACTTTAGTAGTTCTTCATTTCTATAAACAGCTTACTCTCACATAAAAAAAACAAGAAAACATTTTTTAAAATGTCAGTTAAACCTTAATTATAGAAAAGGAATACTGTACACTTTTGATATTCCTGCTTCATTTTTTTTTATTTTCCGCACATTTACCTGGCAACAAGAAGTTTGTTAAGTCTACAATAATATTTTATTTCTTTCTACCGTAGTTTCAATCCTTTCCACAAAACAAAAATGGATTTAAAGTTGGAATGAAGCTTGAAGGACTGGACCCTGAACATCCATCTTTATTTTGTGTTCTTTCTGTTGCTGAGGTACTGGTCTGACTTTTTAAAATAACGAAGAAAATAACTGGAAGACAGATGAAAAGCATGTCGGTGATCAGTTAATTAATTCTGGCTGAAGTTAATGCAATGCCTACGGGCTTAAGGAATGCTTTTAAAAAAAAATTAATATACTCTATTGGCAGTGTTGCTATACATTGATAAATGAACTGAATATTTTTCATCCTCAAAAAAAAGATATTGGTAGCCTGAAAAGATTGACAGATAAAACTAACAATCTGAGCATCTTTAATTGGCTTTTTATACAGTTCTTGTGTATGTGTTTTAATATCAGCTTGTGCCAAGCAGAAACTTCTGTCAGCATTCCAGAAAACCCCCTACAGAAAGTAAAACTCTGAAGCAAACATTTTTCAAAGTTCTATTTACTAGAATAGGTAAACTGGCACATCTGGGAAAACCTGAATCTGAGAGGTCCGGGTTTTCCCTCAGTAATTCAAAACCCCCAAAACCATCCCCTCACTCCTCAGTCGATCACAGGCTCCAATCACTATCTGTCCCATCTTGAGACATCATTCCAACCACTCCTTCTCCAGATGCAGGATCGGCCTGACCTTGACCGACAGGAAGAATGCTATTCTTCCCCTCTACTAAATCCCCCCTCCTACTTTCCCACACACGAGAAGGTGGCAGTATGGAAGCTTCCGGCCTAATATGGCTTCCAAAGCTGACAACTCCACTGTTACTTTCATTGTATATGCTTGAGTTCTACTAAGTAAAGGGTGTAAAAACGGTGTCTGTGAACTGTAGCACCACCAATAAATTAATACAATTAATGCATCCACTGTTAAAAGTTAATCGTGTTGAAAATGAAATAGGAGCATAATTTTTAAAAGCAGGCTTTTTTGTGTGTTTTGCAAAAGTGGTAACAATCTTACCTTTGTGGTCGGTTGTAGGTGCAGGGGTACCGAATGCGATTACATTTTGATGGTTATTCAGAGTTTTATGATTTCTGGGTTAATGCTGATTCAACAGATATCCATCCTGTTGGCTGGTGTGAAAAAACAGGTCACAAGCTGCTCCCTCCTAAAGGTAGAGGTGTGTGTGTAGTGTATGCATATGCGTATATTTATGTATGTATATATGTGTGTGTGTATGTATATGAATATATGTATATGTTTTCTGAGGTTTTCACGGGTGTTTGTATGTAGGTCTTTGGTTATTCGGGGTTTTCTCCCACGTGAAATTGGAAGTGTCTTGGCGACGTTTCGATGAAGTCTCATTCATCATCTTCAGGCTGGTATTTTCGGCTTTGTGCTTCTTTGTGCTTCGTGATTCTGCGATCACACATTGCTCCTAGAAGCACGAAGCCGAAAACACCAGCCTGAAGATGACGAATGAGACTTTGTCGAAACGTCGCCAAGACACTTCCAATTTCACGTGGGAGAAAACCCGAATAACCAAAGACCTACATATATGTATATCTATCTACCTATCAGTATATCCGTCTGTCTGTCTGTCTGTCTGTCTGTCTGTCTGTCTGTCTATCTATCTCTATCTATCTACCTACTTACCTACCTACCTACCTACCTACCTTTATAAGCATTCTAATCAGAGATGGGACTTTGGACTGTAGTATTTGGACTACAGAGCCTCTTGTAAGTGAAATTTTTCAGGAGAAACAGTTATTTCTAGGTTGATCATCTTGAAGTGCAACTTTATTTAGAGACCTTAAATTCTTTTCCTTCCCCCTCTTCTCCAAGTTGTGATGAAGGGAGTGGACACGTCTGCTCCTTTTTCCCAAAGAACAGTGTATTCCCATTTTCTACAAACTGGGAGCTCTGCTCTTTTTGAACTACAATCTGATCAAGGCTTGTTTCTGAGAAACTTAGTTTAGACTAATAATGCTTGAACCAAGTCCTAGCTTTAATCAAAAGACTAATCTCATGTTAAATCACTGACTTAGTTAAAAAGGAAAGAAGTGAGATTGATCCTGACACCCAGTTTGCATAATAGCCACAAAGTATAGATTTTTCATGAAAGATTAACTACATTTTTCTACTACTATGTGTGTCTTCGAATCAGTGTTGACTGCTGGTGATTGCCTGAACTAGTCCCTACAATTTTCTTGGCAGGATTTTGGGGAATGATTTGCCATTGCCTGCTCCTAAGGTTGAGAGAGAGGGACTGGCCCAAGGTCACTCAGCTGGATTTGTGCTATCATGAAAATAAACAATTAGGATCTTTTGTTTTGTTCTGAGGACTATATAATGGAGAATCTAATAGGAAAAAGCTTGCATGTATTCACATTGTTACTTAAGAAGTAATGCATGTTTTTCCATTAAAGTTGAGCATTAGAAATGTTAAATAATTGGAAATTCTTTCAGTGATACATAATTTAACAAATTAATTCAGTACCTATTTTGTTTCATACGGAGTTCCGAATTTTCAGATTAATGACTCACAACTGCACTATTGTATTTAAAACACAAGAAAAGAGAAAGGAGAAATATTTGTAAAAGCCTAGAGACCTTAATTGTTCCACAAAAACAGCTATCACACAAATTTCAAATGCTTCCCATACTGTTTCTAATTCTGAGAACTCAGGCTGTGGTACGCCACAGGCTGTTTTTTTAAATCAAAAAATCATTTTTCTTTTTTCTTTCTTTGCCTAGGTTACAAAGATGGGGAATTTAACTGGGCTTCGTATTTGAAGACTTGCAAATCTCAGGCTGCCCCCAAAAATCTTTTCAAGATCCTAAACACAGTGAGTAACAACACCAGTTTCTTAGTTGTCTCTTTCAAGTCCTTTCTACAGAAGGTATCAAGGTTCCTTTGGCTAATACTTAGAATTGGAACAAAACCGCAGAGAAAGAAGGAAGCAAAATAAAATAGGAACTATTATTTCTCATATATTTAGAATTCAGAGTTTATTGCCTGTATTTGTTTGTTTAGAATTCTGAGTTTATTGATTTGTATTTATCTGAGCAGAGGAATAAATTAGCTAAGCACAGCTGGCACAGAGTAGCTGGCTTTTTATCTCCTATGTTAACCCTGTTCGCAGAACCTCCGGCATTTGTTCAGTGTTTGAGCTGAAAACATTTATTGATTCATGTTCCTGCTGCTCACCTGAGTATCTTTTTCTAGTTGCACATCCAGTGTTTTTCCAGGTAATTTGGTTCCTTTGGATTCTACTCTTGTCAAGTAAGCCACATTTGTTCACTCATATACCACCTGAGCCAATCCTTTAGATTTCAGTGAATAAAAAAGAGGTTTTTAAATTTTGCACTCAGAGTTTTACAGCTTTAGGGAAGACTTGCGATCAAGGTCGCACATCTCATGAAACCAATAGTTCAAATTATGATTTCTTAAAGAAAGCACAAGTCTCACAGCCTATTAAGCCAAAATCAAACATGTCCTTTTTTGATTTAGAATCCAGCAGTAAAACCAGATTTTCTTCAACTCAATGCAGACTTAAATGCTTCTAATGGCAATGGGTTTTTTTCTCTCTCTCTGTTTTCTCCTATAGCCAGTCACACCTTCTGGTTTTCGGGTGGGCATGAAGTTAGAGGCAGTAGACAAAAAGAATCCTTCCCTCATGTGTGTGGCAACCATTGCAGACATGTTGGATAATCGACTGCTAGTTCATTTTGACAACTGGGGTGAAAGCTATGATTACTGGTAAGAACAAGAATTTGTTATGTTGTTGAGAGCAATCGGGTATTATCCAGGAACTGCAGAATGTAAAATCATTTTGAGATAGGGAAACCTCTGGAGCCAGTTCTGTATTCAGTTGCATCCAGCTTTATTCACCGTTCGGTTTGTTGAAGTTCTGATTGTAAACCCATGTTGAAATATGTACAGCATTCTATCCAGATAACTATATTTTGGATCACGTAGCTTGTCTACAAATTGTAATGAATAAAGAATTAAAATCTAAATTTAGTTTGGTATAATGTAGAATTATAAATTCAAACCATATAGCTTACCATGTATGAGATAATACAGGAATATGCAATTAGAAGAGAATATTTGTAGCTCAAAGTTGAACTGTGAGGTCCTTGGTGCTCTCTGAGCTTGATGCTTTTCGTGCAGACATTTCATTACCAAACTAGGTTACATCATCAGTGCACTGATGCATTGCAAGAAAACTACCAAGCTCACCAAGGACCCCATATACAACTTAAATTGACTCAAGAGTCTGTTTGACAGATGTTTTGGACAATAAAGGGTAAAATGGGTGTTTTAACTTTCTGGAAGTCAAATTTTCAGTTAGAGCTTGTTGAAGCTCCCTTTATTTCATAAATACAAAAAAAAAAAAATCATTCTCATTCTGGATTACCTTTTACGGGTCTTGAAGGCTTACAAAAGAGATGCCATTGGCCTACCCTATTGCATCCTTGAGATTAATGTTCAACATAGAAACATTAGGCAAGGTTTGCATAGATGTATTTCATCATGTATATATATACCTTTGGTGCAGGTGTGATGCAAGCAGTCCATATATTCGACCTGTTGGTTACTGCCAAGAAACTGGAACTCTCTTAACCACACCAGCCGGTAGGTTAAAAGCACATCATTTTCAGCTACTGTGATAGTATCTGCAAGGAATGTATCAGCTGCAACGGAATTACGTTATATTTCAGTCACTCTGCTTACACTGAGGAAGTCCTACTTACTTGTTGCACATGTTCTACAGATATTTTTAGAAACCATGTGTCCCAACCAAATTCTGAATCCTTGGAGTGCTAGACAAAATTTGGCTGAAAAAATTGGGAGTTTCAGCAGAAATTGATTAACAAAAGTATCATACAAGGAGAATACAGGACCTGAATATTTTCTTCAAAAGAGCAGGACATTAATAAAAGAGAAAGATTGACTTCTTCCGTTGTTCTTCAGATTTACTGGCACAGTTTGGTTAGAACCTCAATTGATTCTTACTTTGTTGCTTGCCATATTTTTGTAGATATTCCATCAATTCCTGTAGTCATCTGGCTTGGTAATGACTGGAGTGCTAATCTCACTTCATCTATACTAGAATGATGCTAGGAATGGTTAGTGGATCTAGAAGAAAGGGTGAGCATAGAGCACGCTGGCTTGATACCTTCAAAGCTGACACAATGATGAACATCCAATAACTGAAAGAAGCTATGCTTGACAGGATAGGACGGAGAACACTTCCTATAAATTATAGGGTATAAATTAAATAAAGTCATCAAGAGTCAGAGATGTCTGAAGAATTAGTTTAAACAACTAATACAGGCTCTTGTAAATAGGGAATACCTTCCAAGATATCTTAGATGCTGCTATTTGATTGTATAGAATTTTGGTATGCTTCTTCCATCTTTGATCTTCTTTCAGTCAGTGACTATCAGTCCATTGGCAGCTTTGAACTTCACGCTTGCAACGTCTTCTTGAGTTCAGAAATCTTTTGGAACATTTTCCTTGATTTTCCATGTCTGTTTCCATCTTTCATATCTTTACAAATGTCATTATATTCTTCTAGTCTCTTCTAACAGCTCTTTGAAATTCTTTCAGTTCCTTCCTAAGATATTTCTCTTTCTTCTCTTTGGTTCTGAGTCTGCTTTTTTTTTTTCTGTTTCTTGATCTCTTACTGTTTGATTTCATGCCACATTTGTTCTGGTTTCCACTCACTGAGTTCCTGTGGTTTTCTATAAAAGTAATTCCTGATGTTTTCCTTGAAAATGTTAATTCCAGATCATATTGTGGAAGCTAGCTTTCTTCTTCCACTTTAACTTGACTTAGAATTTGCAAATGAGCAGAGTGTGATCTGTTCCACAGTCAGCTCCTGAACTGAATCTTTGTAAATTTTTTCCACCTGCTTGTATCTATATGGTAGTCAATTTTATTCTCTGTATTCTTTTGGTTGTTTGAAAGCTATTAGCAATGAATAAATCATTGGCTTGGCAGAAACAGGTAGATTCTCCTGTTTCATTTCCATTTCCCAGGCACATTCTCTAAATATATTTTTCTCCTTACTTTTTCTCAGTTTAGCATTCCAGCCTCCAGCCACAAGCGATGCATCATAACAGGGTTGTTGTTATAAGGAAAATAGAAGGAGGGAGAAGTATTATGAACGTTCAGCTCAGAGGTGGTATTCAGCAGGTTCTGACCAGTTCTGGAGAACCAGTAGCGGAAATATTGAGTAGTTTGGAGAACCGGTAAATACCACCTTTGACTGGCCCCGCCCCATCTATTCTCTGCCTCCCGAGTCCCAGCTGATTGGGAGGAAATGGGGATTTTGCAGTAACCTTCCCCTGCCATGCCCACCAAGCCATGCCACGCCCACCAAGCCACGCCCACAGAACCGGTACTAAAAAAAATTTAATCCCACCACTGGTTTCAGCTTCTTGACTTACCTATAAAGTAATAAACGCAGGATAAAAATCAAATAAATATCTTGCATGTTCTGTCAATTTCAGATTGAACTTGATTATAAAACCTATCAACAAACTCTTCTGCTTCAGTGGGTGAAGCATAAACTTGGAAAATAATTGGATCAAAGATTCACTACCGTGAAGTCAGTGAGATATTATAGAAGCACTGAAGACACTGTACCCAAATAGTGTCCTTGAGATACCCTTCCTCTTTTGTTTTTCATGCCCTGAGTAGTAAATGATCTTTTTAATGGAGAGTGTCCGATTCCAGTCCATTTCAATTTGCTGATGTCTAAAAGTCAATATCCCATTGATTCATTTCATCTTTCACCGTATTGAACGTTGCTATGTTGATGCTGATTTATTGGTTGCTTGGTTGATTGATTGGTTGATGCAATTTAAAGGCCATCCGACTCCCATCGAATCTTACGTTTCACGTTCCTACTACTAAAAAAAAAAAAAAAAAAGATTTTCCTGATTTTACTTCGCTAGTTGTTGCCGACTCTAAGGCATGGTGCTCATCTCCTTTTCAAGGCCATTCTGAGCCAGCACTATCTGAAGACATTTCCATGATCATGTGGCCAGCATGTCATCGCGGAGTGCTGTTACCTTCCCACTGAAGTGGTACCTATTTATCAACTCGCATTTCTGTGCTTTCGAACTGCTAGGTTGGCAGGAGCTGGAGCGAGGACGGGAGCTCACTCTGACATGTGGCACTCGGGTGTCAAACCTGGACTGCCAGCTTTCAGCTGACAGGCCCAGCATCTTAACTGCTGAGCCCCCATGCCACCCCAGCCCCCATGCCACTCTATTGTTACTATAATTTGTTGTTTGTTTATTTACAAAATATATCAGCTGGAGTCTCTGGGTGCATCTCAGGGGCAGGCCCATGTAGAGGGAATTGCAGTAATCCAAGCGGGAAGTAACCAGGGCATGAGTGACAGTGTGAAGGTCATCTCGGTCCAGGAAAGGGCGCAACTGGCGCACCAGGCGAACCTGTGCGATGGCCTCTCCACATCAGAATTGGAATTGATTTGTGTTCTTATTTTCCCCTTTTACTCTCTTTTTTACCTCACACTCTATTTCTCTCCCGACAAATCATAATTTATAGCTTTGGTTGTAATTCTGATTTAGGAGGAAATATGAACGATCAGTCTCCGTTGCAGATGCAGTGACAAGCGAATGGTTTGCCAGAAAAAGAGAGGCATGGGGAAGCTTAGTGGGGGGGAGAGTATATTTGAACGCAAGGTTCATTTGGGTAGTTGCAAAGTGGAAGCTTACCATAATTACAGGCAAGTGAACAATCGCATAATGAATGTGTTTTTATGACGTTATTTTACTGCTTAAGTTGTTCTGCTCTACGGCCACAATTCAATTAAACTAACCCAAGCCACTCATAACCTAGGCATGTGATCTCAGAAGCTCAGTTCTTATCACAGCCATTCAATAATTAATTGATCTTGCAAGGGTAGGTGTAAACTGAGGATCATCGTCTGAAATCTCTTTACAGAATACAAAGATTTCAAAAGCTTCTCATGGGAGAAATACTTGGAAGAAACTGGTTCTCAGGCAGCACCAGCAAGAGCATTTAAACTGGTTGGTCAAAAGCTTTTCTGTTTTTCTGTTTTTGTTTTGTTTTTACATTGAATGAACTGTATCACCGAATGATGTAATTGCGTTTTTGTACTCTCTCCTAACCCATGGTCGGGGCACATTTATTTTGATTAGGATTGTCATCATTGTTATCAATTTCCCCTATCGCATTCGAAAATATCTAGATAAATTAGGTGGCAATCTTGGCCTTAAGTGCTTGTTACTAATGTAACACGCTTGCCAGAAGAGAAAGTTGGAAGCACCGGTTTCCGCAATTGAACAAGCTAATTTGTTGTGACATACAAAAAAAATGAGAATTGAATCGCCGTATTCACAAATCGGTCCAGTTGCATGTAACCGCAAATTACAGTTAAATTAAAGCAGAAAAATAGACATTTTCAATCTTTTCTTAAGACGTGTGATGGGGAGGTGGGGCACTGCTCCCGTCTTGTTCCATTAATGCCAGGATATGATGTAATGGAGTCTTCAAATATGCCCTTTAAATGATATAGGTATCGTCCTTAGTTGCCTCTGACTTCATATATAATTTATTTTATAGCGTCCAGCTCATGGATTTCAGAGTAACATGAAACTAGAAGCGGTAGATCGAAGAAACCCCATGCTAATTAGAGTGGCAACCATAACTGAAAAGGATGACCATCGTGTCAAGGTATGTAAACAAATAGCAGCAGTGAATCTCATAAAAATCTCCTAATAATTGGAAAGTGAAACCTGGTTTTACTTTCATTCTTCAGGTGAAGGTGAGCTGCAAAACCAAAGCCAGTCAGCCTCCTTTATTTGGGGAGTGGGGGGGGGGGCAGTGGTGAAATCCAAATTTTTTTACTACCAGTTCTGTGGGCGTGGCTTGGTGGGTGTGGCAGGGGAAGGATACTGCAAAATCTCCATTCCTACCCCATTCCAGGGGAAGGATACTGCAAAATCCCCATTCCCTCCCCACTCCTGGGGGAAGGATACTGCAAAATCTCCATTCCCACCCACTCTGGGGCCAGCCAGAGGTGGTATTTGCTGGTTCTCCGAACTACTCAAAATTTCCGCTACCGGTTCTCCAGAACCTGCTGGATTTCACCCCTGGTGGGGGGGCTGAGAACTGGAAAAGAAAGTAGAATTTGCTTTGGCTTTGTTCTCCAAGGAACTTAAAGTTGGGTTTATTTCTGTTGCTGAGCCAGGGTGGGGCCAGTAATCAAGCAGGGAATTAGTCTGGAATCATTACGTAGGCACATAAAGGCAAATCCAGTCCCCCTTGAATGCCATTGAACCTTATCTAGTCTGCCCCAGGTGCAAATTGCCAGTCTGGGAAGATTCCTGTGAAATAGGCATTGAGCAATAAAGTAGTTAATTGAACTCTTCACGTGAGCATCTTGTTTTTCATGCCTGACAATTTTTATGCCATGAGATTCAGTGCCAGAGGAAAAAAAACTTTCTACCATAGAATCTGGAGGCATGGAACTGTAGTGATCTAAAGGCTAAATCTCGTAATCTAAAGAGCTACTTCTGTTCTTTGATTGATTGTCAAAGTCATATATGGATCTTCCAGGTAGATTAGTCTGGAGCCAGCAGAGACAATACTGAGTTAGATGGACCTACAGTATAATAGGAATGTCAGTCCTGGAAGCCATCTTTTACTTTGGATCTTCAGTGTTGCCACATTTAGTGCTGTGGGAAACTGAGAGGGGGGAAATTGTATGGAGTTAGGAGATATCTAGCCATAATAACATTATTTTCTCTGGGAGTCAAGGATATCCTGCCCTGCACCTGGAGTGGTGTGACTGGGAGGCATCTCCAATTGGGACGGTGCTTGATTGGACCATGTGATAGACTTGTGGGTGTTGGGCAGGGACTTGGACTTTCTTTTGGGTGGTTGGGTGGGGAAAACCTGGAAGCTTTCATATTCAGGTTTTCCCAGATGTGCCAATATGACATCTCTAATAAAATGGAACTTTGAGGAACTTCTAGCCTCGGAGTCTTCTTTCATTGGGGGTGTTACTTAGAACCCTGACAAGGAATCTTCCTGTGTTACATAGTAGTTGGACTCTTTATTCAGCTGCCAGAAAACTGGATTAGGTTCAATTCCAAAAAAATCATGAGTATAAATGCGAGTTATAGGTAGTCCTCGGCTTACGATCACAATTGAGCCCCAAATTTCTGTTGCTAAGTGAGACAGTTGTTAAATGAGCTTTGCCCCGTTTTACGACTTTTCTCGCCACAGTTAAGTGAATCACTGCAGTTGTTAAGTCAATAACACGGTTCTTAAATGAATCTGACTTCCCCATTGACTTTGCCAATCAGGAGTCCGCAAAAGGTCACTGCAACCGTCATAAATATGAGTTGGTGGCCAAGTGTCTGAATTTTGATCATGGGACTGTAGGGATGCTGCAACGGCCCTAAGTGTGAAAAAACGGTCATAAATTCCTTTTTTTTTCCTTTTTTGGTGCCATTGTAACTTCAAACTGTCACTAAACAAATGGTTGTATTACCTATAGTAGTGATCCCTTTTTAATCTTCTTTATTAAGGTGCACTTCGATGGTTGGGATCACGCCTTTGATTTCTGGGTTGATGCTGACAGTCCAGATATTCATCCCATGGGCTGGTGTGCCAAAACTGGACATGCCTTGCAACTCCCACCAGGTAAGAGGAGAAATAACATTGGGGAGGGGGGTTCCTTCCCTCCCACCCCACATCCCCGGATCTTGTAATTTGGAAAAAGACGGAAACAAGGTTTACTCCTGAACTGGCTTTGTTTTTCTAGGGACTTCCAATGCAGCATCAACGCCAGCAGGACAAGTATGCCCTACTCCTGGTTGTCAGGGATTGGGTCATGTCAGGGGCCCCAGATACGGAACTCATTACACGTATGTATTTCCTGAGAGTTACGCGGCAGCTTTTCCCTGTATTTAAAAACCACACACCGCTTCAGTCAACTGTAAATACAAATGTGGATCTTAGTTCTAAAGTGTTGTGTTGTAGCTCCCTCTTGTGCTTTGTAGTTGGCGTCCCTCGACTGCCAGGCAAATAACTAGCATGATAGAAAAGCAGTATCAACATCTGTTAGGGAGATTCACGTGATTATTTGCGAGCTCTAAACATTTAAAGTCCCAAAGTTGATCTTCTCATATTTATTCCAGGAGGTGGGGAAAAGCTGGAATGGCTCAAAACAATATCCTATGTTTTCCCTTGCTTTCCACATCTAGCCAAATTTAATAGAGAATTTGCTCCTTGCTTTAGAGAAGAAGTTGTGTGTCATGGATTCTTCTCTGATGATGATACATCAGAATAATAGGGGCAGAATGTATATTCCAGATCTTGAAGTCTGTAGAGAGTCTCAGTCATCCAAAGTCATGGTTGTCCCAAAGGTGTTTTTTCAGGAGGCAACTGGACTTTCTTGGTTTTTTTTTTTTCTTTGAAGACATTTCGCTTCTCATCCAAGAATCTTCTATATTATATTCCTTCTGCAAGGAATATAAATCCTTCCATTCCCCACTATCCTGTCAGAGCTGAAGAAGCTTCTTGGATGAGAAGCGAAACGTCTTCAAAAACAACAACAACAACAAGAAAGTCCAGTTGCCTCCTGAAAAAGCACCTTTGGGATTCCAGATCTTGTCTGTTTATGTAGTGTGTGGATGTGTGTGTAGAGAGAAAGAGAGAGCACACCAAGATCTGTGAAGCAATTTTTAAAAAAGGTCCAGTAGAAATCTGGTCGCATGGATGAGTATATAAATTGGGTGTCGGCAACCCGCAGCTCCGGAGCCGCATGCAGCTCTTTGGGCCCTCTGCTGCGGCTCCCATCACTGGTTGGCCCCGCCCCTCGACCCTTTTATTTCTTTTTTGGATATTTTTGGAAATAAGGAACGATCGCCAGCCACAGCGGAGGCTTCCCTTTGGGCGACCCTCCTCTCGTGACCCTCTGGCCCGCTGTGGCTGAGCCAGGAGCATGCGCACGCGCGGGGGAGACCCTCCTCAAGCGAGTGCCAAAGCGCAGGAAAGGCGTGCATGGGGCAGGCGGCCGCTCACTTGAGAAGGATAGGGGAGAGAGATAGAGGGGGAGAGAGAGGGGAATACAGGGAGAGGGGGAGAGGGAGGCATGGAGAGAATGGTTTTGTGGCTGGGTAGGTATGGCTGGGGGGTCATGTGACTGGGTGGGAGTGAGTGACATCGAGTTGGCCACACTCACCCAGGTTTTGTGGCTCCTGGTGTGTGTGTGTGTGTGTGTGTGTGTGTGTTTCCTGCGGGAAAAGGGTCCAAATGGCTCTTTGAGTGTTTAAGGTTGCAGACCCCTGATATAAATGATAGAGATCTGCCTAGAGAAACTTGAATTATGTTAATTATGTTATTTTCAGCATGGAAAACTTTGCTGATGGCTATGAAGAAGAGAAAGCCAGAGTCTACTGTTTTATTCTCCTGCCCCTTCCTTCCTACATTTATTCAAAGCCTTTGGTTAAATCATTCTTCTCTTAACTCTTCCTGCATGCTGCCTCTAGCTAGACCTTTTGATGCTCTATTTCCGTGCAAGGTTTTGCTTTTATTTAACGTTGCTCTCAGCTCAGCCAGATTCTCAGCCTTCCTAAGGAGCACTTGTTTTGTTTTCTGCTCACTAGGTCTGAAATATCCTTCTCTCCATAGAATTTCTCATTTAGTAAACAATTCGATTTCCTTCCCAAGCTCCATTTGCTTACCAATCCCTACCATTATTTTACTCTTGCAGGGCTGATGTGTTATATCCTAGCTTGTTTATTTAAGGTAGCCTTCTGTTAAAAAAAAAATGAATCATATTTTTTGCAATGGGAACATTGTTTTGCTTTTGATGTAGGTTAATTGGCTGCCCTTATTCCGAAACCAGTCGCACCCGAGAGGGCTTGTTACAGGATCGCCTTGGTGGAGAAAAACCATCACTTGGCAGCGGTGCTCTCAAACCCAAGAAATCTGACATTTCAGCACAACTTACAGATTTGCAAGAAGATTCTCCACAGTCCAGGTGAAGCTGTAGATTGCATTCTAAAACCTATTTTACCATTGGTCATGTTTTATTAAGCTTTTATTTGGTCTGACTACTGCAAAAGAATTTTTTTTTTGCCATTTTGCTGGCTTTTATTCTCTCGTGTCTGTAAATTTGGTTTGTAAAGTTTGGCAAAACTTTGCATGCCTTTGAGCTAGATTTTTTGTTTGTTTGTTTGCAGCACTGCTTCTCTGGCATTTGGTAGGAAGTGTACAATACAAGTCTAGCTGGGTAAATTGAAATGGTGCAAAGCAATGGTTCTCAACCCCACAGACCACTGGGGGGGCGGGCGTGATGTCATCACAGAGGGTTCTTGAAGGCTTGAAGAAATGTTATGATTTAAATCTTGAGTTAAGCCTTGTGGATCCGTGGCCAAGGTCTGTGGCCATATTTAAAAGGGGTCCGGGGTGAAGAAAGGGTTAAGAACCATTGGTGTAAAGTCTGTAGAGTTCAGACTTTGTTGTATGGCGAAATGTTTATTCCAGTACAGTTACCGTATTTTTCGGAGTATAAGACGCTCCGGACTATAAGACGCACCTACCTTTTTTGGTGAGGAAAACCAAAGAAAAAGAAATCTGCCTCTGCCTCCCAGCAATTTTGCCTCGTTGCAGCAAACAGCAAATAGCCTGCTTTACTTTCATTTTCGTTTTCAGCATAGCTTGATTTGCACAAGAAAAAAAAAATCTGCTCCCAGCAATTTACCTCCTTGCAGCAGGAGCTGAGAGTCAGGTGGCTGATCCAATCATTTTGTGCTAATTAGGCTGTGCTGAAGCAAACTCTTTCTTCTTGCTGCTTGCTGCAAGGAGGTAAACTGCTGGGAGGCAGAGGCCAAAGGGTAGGGGCCAATGGGTGGGTGGGGCTACATTCGGTGTATAAGACGCACCTAAATTCCCCCCCCCCTTTTAAAAAGGTATGTCTTATATTCCCAAATACAAAAGAACTGAATGAGGCAAAGAACTTAATGAGATGAGACTGACATCTGAGCCAAACCTTATCAATCTAGCCGTGTGCATGAAACTCTCCTGGGTCCTGTTCCCTAGATAGATAGATGGTTTGGAAGTGACAGATATGGATGGATCTATATAGAATGCATATTTTTCTTATCAGAAAGTCATCCACGCAAGAAGGAGAGAGGTCAGGGAGAAGCAGCGTTCATAGTTTTTCTGAACAGTCTGAGACCAGCCAAGAGAAAGACTGGGCCGAAGGGGAAACACCTACTATTACTAAAATCAAAGCAAAAGGGTAAGCAAAATGTTTCAATTAGCCCAACCTATCAAGCAGTTAAGTTTGAAGACAGTTTGGAAATAGGTGGGCTACAGATTGGAAGGGGACTTTATTTACAAATACATGGACTCATTCATTCAATGACACAAATGCATTCAATGGGTTTATAGCCAAGCAATCTCGAAATAAATTCAGGTTGCTTCCATCAGTCCTGAAGCCTGTCAAAATGTCCATGCCTTTGTGTACTTGTTTTGATTTCAAATGCTGGTTTAAAATAAGCCTTAATGCAGCTACAGGCCACAATATCCCTGATAAGTCTTTTAAGTGCCATCTTCAGGAAATATTTTAATGGTTATACAGGTAGTCCTTTGATTTACGACCACAAATGAGCCCAACATTTCCATGGTTTTATTACAATTTTACAAACTTTCTTAAATGAACCACTTTTTAAGTTGTTAAGTGAATCTGCTTCCCTATTGATTTTGCTGGTCAGAAGCAAAACTGGGGCCTTCTGGGACCTAACCTGTTTCCCCCAAAATAAGACACCCCCTGATAATAAGACCAATCGGGCTTTTGAGCGCATGGCAATAAGGCCAAGCGCTTATTTCAGGGTTCAAAAAAATATAAGACAGGGTCTTATTTTCGGGGAAACACGGTACCCCGCAACCGTCATAAACACATGCCAATTGCCAAGCATCCAAATTTCGATCATGAGGATGCTGCCATGGTCATACGGTCCGAAAACCGGTCATAAGTCCCTTTTTTCAGTGTTGTTCTAACTTTGAACAGTCACTAAATGAACGGTTGTAAGTCGAGGACGACCAGTATTACCTCCCTGGCTAAAAACTGTCTCTCTCTCTCTCTCTTTTTTTTTTTTTTTTTACAATCTGTAATACTTTCTTGTGTTAACACCAAAATTGGATTTTGTAGGATTGGCTGTTCGCATAGCTATATAAAGCTCCAGCTAGTGAAGCAAGAGACTGATGGGGAAAAAGGTTGGTGTTAATGCCTATTTGAAGCTATTGTGAATTCTTGTGCTGATGGATTCTAAATATTGAATAATGTCCATGATAACTAGAACCCCGTTATTTTGCTCCTTAGTTCAAGTTTGCCTTGATGCTTCTTCCTTTCTTGAATTGTAAGGGCCACTGTTGTCTTGAAGATCTGTCCGAGAGGAAGTGCTCTGTTTCTGCCAGCAATCAGTAAAAACAAATTCTGTCCCCAGAGAATTTTGTCTTCCTTACAAAGGAATTGGGAATTTTTAAAAACTTGGTCTCGGGTAGGGAAGCAAAAAAGTGGGATCCATAATAAAATGTTGCTGGGTATTCGTAGCTCTTAACGCTGGGAGGTTCTTTTAGAGACTCCAATCGACTTTGAGCATCTTCCCAAAAAATTCCCAATTCTGGACTTGAGTGAAACACATCCCCTTTTTCCTTTTTTAATCCTCCACATCACGTCGCCCTTTGTAATCTCTTCACCTGATCTTTAAATTGTCCCAAATGTGCTTCTGATTGAGATAAGTTACCCAGGCCTAATTGTCAACCAGCATACAGGTAGTCCTCAACTTACAACTGGTTGCTTAATGAACATTCAAAATTATGAACATTTTATGAGCCAGGCCAGGTGTCAATCACTTAAAAACAGCCCCCCCCCCCCCCTGTTTTAAAACACCTGAATTATTTTAAAATTATTGGTAGGAGTGAAGCTAAGAGGAGCGAAGGGGACACAGTGGCTCAATGGCTAAGATGCTGAGCTTGTCGATCGAAAGGTCGGCAGTTCAGCGGTTCAAATCCCCAGTGCCGCGTAACGGGGTTGAGCTCCCGTTACTTGTCCCAGCTTCTGCCAACCCAGCAGTTTGAAAGCACGTAAAAAATGCAAGTAGAAAAATAGGGACCACCTTTGGTGGGAAGGTGACAGCATTCCGTGAGCCTTTGGCGTTTGGTCATGCCGGCCACATGACCACGGAGACGTCTTCGGACAGCGCTGGCTCTTCGGCTTTGAAACAGAGATAAGCACCGCCCCCTAGAGTCGGGAACGACTAACACATATGTGCGAGGGGAACCTTTACCTTTACTGTTAAGAGGAGCGAAAGGGCAAGCAACAATCCTTTCCTGTTGCCAGTAGATGTCACCAGAGCTGTTTCCAATCAGCGCATCCTGGAAAAGAAAAAAAAGTCCCAGTGTTCAGTTATATTGGCTCCTTTTCATCTGTAAGCGGAGGAGGAGAAGCCAAAACCCTAATTAGCCAATATTGTCAATCAAGGAAGGGTTGCTATGCTGTGTTCATCAACACTTCCTCCTCTTCTTCTTTCTACCCAGAGTCAGGCCCCCTGGTTCTTACCGCAGTATGAGACAGCAAAAACCAAATGATCTCACATACGTCACATCGGAGGGAAGGGGCAAGGAGGGGCAGAGGGAGAAAAGATCGAACTGCTTTCCATTCCTTAGCATCTCCGGTCCTTTCACCTATGGGGAGCGATGCTAACATCCGGATGAAGCTGCCAGGCTCCCTGACCATGGAGTCTTGTCTCCTGGGAGTCAGCCAGTGCCTGTCATTATCTGGCATGCCGAGTGCTCTTAGCCGGCTGGGAACAAACCGTAAACTGGAATGGTGCCATTAATTTCCAGCTGAAGATGCAGTCACCCAGCCGCCTCCTCTCTGGTAATAGATTGCTGGCAACTCCTCCGGTGTTAGCATCAGGACATCTCTAACAGCCGCCAGAACAGCACTGGGGTTCTGGTCTTCCCCCCCTTTTTTTTTTTTGGGGGGGGGGGGGGGGGGGGAGAGGGACGTTCTGAAGAAAAGTGATTTCTTGATTTCCAAAGTGCACCTGAACCAGGATTAACAGATTTATTTTTCTTTCTTTCTTTCCTTCCTTCCTTCCTTCTCTTTCTCTCTCCCTCCCTTCCTCCTCCCCCCCCTTCATCCCTGATCTCCTACCAGACACTGCCTTTGCTCTGCAGCAGACCCTACACCAGTCTGTCTTCATGCCTTCCCTGTCTGCCAATCCGACCCACCGTCTCCATCTCTGCTGGGAGCAGCACTGCAAACTGCTGCCGGAGGTCTCGGGCCTCACCGCTAAGAATGTGGCCAAATGGAGCGTGGAAGAGGTAAGTTCTGCTTTTCTTTTCTCCCTTCTTCCCTCCCTCCCTCCCTCCCTCCCTCCCTCTCTCTCTCTCTCTCATCCTTAACCTCCTACAGCCAGCAATTTTGTTCCTTGCTCTGCTGTGCAGCTGTAGTTAAATTTGGGAGTGAGGGTTAACCCAGCCAGAACTTTTAACCAGCCAGGATCTGGAATCTATGGGTAGATATTGATCCTGGATGTTGCAGTGAGCCCTCCTTGTTAAGCAGCTGCCCCTTTGGGGGCCTCCACTGACAATAGCTTTTTCTGTGCTTCTCTGGGCTGCTGACTCACTATCCCTTGCCATTGGCCCTGCGCATGCTTGCGTGGCTGCGTCACAAACCATCCCCACAGTGTAACAAGGATTGCTGACACACAGGCTTGTTCTGCCAAGGCTGTCATTTTATAGTGAAAGCTTAATTTGGGGGCCAGGCTACACATTGTGGTATTTTCCCTTCCAGCTGACTGGCTTTAGCTGTGCATCCTTACCTATGTCGCACAGTCCGTTTCTTTTTCATTTTGGTGGGGATTAGAAATGGCTGAATGAGGGATTAAACATGGTACTGAATGGTTCTGTTGGGGGAGCTATGCATAGCCACGTGGCTGGATGGAAATCCAACTTCAGCTGGGTATTAAATTGTGGGTAGTACCAAACTAGTACCCACTTGGGAGCTCTTTGCAATTGTGCTGTCCTTCACTGTTTCCAGAGTAGCCCTGCGGGCCAGATCTAAACACCCCACAGGCCGGATCCAGCCCCTGGCCCTTGAGTTGGGTCATACGTTTAAGCATCACTATTATCATCATGAATAAATCAGTGTTAAGTTGCAGATCTTCCCCACTTCTTAGAATTAGATCTGCTTTCGGAGTGCCAAAAGAAATTTGAAATAACTTTTTAAAAAATGAGAAGAATCTTTTGCAAGGAAATTGAAAAGAACACTGCAAGTGGACATAATTAAGAATCTGTAATCAATTTCTCAGAAGCCAGGAAATAGATAACCACAAAGAGCAGTGATAATTTATTTATTTATTTATTTTTATTTAATTTGTATACCACCCTTCTCCAACAGGACTCAGGGCGGTGAACAGCCATGGTAAAACATAACATATAAAATTTAAAAGCAAATTAAAAAACATTAAATAATTTTGGCTATCCATTTAAAACAACCCGGATTAAAACCAATTACAAATTAAAACCGAAGGGATGGTATCGAGCCAGCCCAGCTAGGTGAAAAAGATGTGTTTTCAGGGCCCGACGAAAAGTCCGGAGGTCTGGTATCGTGCGTATCTCTGGGGGTAGGTCGTTCCAGAGGGCAGGTGCCGCCACAGAGAAGGCTCTCCCCCTGGGGGTCGCCAGCCGACATTGTCTGGCCGATGGCACCCTGAGGAGTCCCTCTCTGTGGGAGCGTACTGGCCGATGGGAGGCTATTGGCGGCAGAAGGCGGTCTCGTAAATACCCCGGCCCTAAGCCATGGAGCACTTTAAAGGTGGTCACCAACATCCTGAAGACCACAGGAAGCCAGTGTAATGTTACCTAGTTTAGTAATGAAATGTCTGCAAGAAAACCACCAAGTTCACAACCCCACAACCAAGAATTTGAAAGGAAAGAAATGTGGTGTGGTGTTGTTTTGACAATTAATGGCTCGCCTCGTCCTATTTGTGGTAGGAATGTTGTGCCTGTCATAACTCAGGAGAATTTGGTTTAGGTCAGAATGATTCCTATAGGGCAAGGGTCAGTGGTGGGATTCAAAATTTTTACTACCGGTTCTGTGGGCGTGGCTTGGTGGGCATGACATGGCTTGGTGGGCGTGGGTTGGTGGGCGTGGCAGGGGAAGGATACTGTAAAATCTCCATTCCCACTCCACTCCAGGGGAAGGATACTGTAAAATCCCCATTTCCTCCCGATCAGTTGGGACTCGGGTGGCAGAGAATAGATGGGGGCGGGGCCAGTCAGAGGTGGTATTTACCGGTTCTCCGAACTACTCAAAATTTCCACTACCGGTTCTCCAGAACTGGTCAGGACCTGCTGAATACAACCTCTGGCAGGGGTGTCAAACTCAAGGCCCACGAGCCAGATGTGGCCCGCGAGATGTTTAAATCTGACCCACGGGGCCAGCCTGGAAATAGCAAAGGACCTGTCTACGGTGCCTCTGGCTGCCAAAACAGGGGGAGCGGGGGGCCACGTCCCATTTTGGCCAGCAGGGTACTGCAGGAGGCTGTCCATCCCACCCCCCACCTCCAACTAGCCTGCAGAGGAGAACTACAATGCTAATCTGGCCCCCGAAGAAATCCAGTTTGACACCCCTGCTATAAGGGATAACATACCAAGCCTGCTGGGGCCAATAAAATACTAGCTCCATTGCTGCTATCCGAAGTGTGTGGTCAAAATAGCTAAGCTATGCAGGCTGAGCCAGAAATACTGTACTTGGCTCACTGTCTAGGCTCTGTCTTTGGGCCTGTCTGCCTACCTGCCAGGGTTCTTGTGTCCCATGTAGCTTAACCTTTACAAATTTCTGCCAACTTCATAGTAAGTATAATAACATTCTTTATTTATAAGCTACAGGATTCTCTCGAGCAAGAAAACCCCTTATGTTTTACAATATTTTGTTCAAGCTAACGAAATGGGCAAGTCGCTGGTTGTCCTTGTAACATTTTTTTGTTTTTTATTTCTAACATTCTTTTCTAGGTGGCTGGCTTTGTTCAGCGTCTGCCCGGTTGCAAAGAACAGGCCGCACTTTTTCGACAAGAGGTAAGTTATCTTGCTTTAGGCTTCTGGAGAGTCATAAAATCTTCGTGCCGAAGGAATGATCTCAAGAAGGGTATTGGAGACTAAAAATTGTACCAAATTACAGGATGGGCACAGTTCGAATTCTAGAGGCCATGCCAAAAGGACTAGAAAATGTTTGGGGGTTTCATTAGATCAGGTTCTATAAAAAGGAAAACCAGGTGATCAAAATACGAGGTGCAGGTAGCAATAGCCATAGCACTTAGACTTATATACCGCTTCACAGTGCTTTACAGCCCTCTCTAAGTGATTTACAGAGTCAGCCTATTGCCCCCCAACAATCTGGGCCTTCATTTTACCCACCTCAGAAGGATGGAAGGCTAAGTCAACTTTGAGCCTGGTGAGATTCAAACTGCCAGATTGCAGGCAGTCAGCAGAAGTAGCCTGCAGTATTGCACTCTAACCACTGCGCCCCCGCGACTCATATCCACAGCTCATATCCACGGTAGGAGTTTATGTTTCAGAAAGGAGTCGTTTACTCAGACATGGCTGTTGATAAAGAACAGGTTGCTTATCTTTGGAATTGGTTCTGAAGCCAAGACTTTACAAAGCCTAGTAAATAAAATCTGGCATCTGAGACAATAGGATTGGAATAAACAAAAGCACACAACTCCCTCTGATAGGCCTGTGGCTGACAAACAGCAGTAGAAGTGTAATAGCAGTGTAATCACTTAAGCATCCTTTGCTTTGTTGTATAGGCTTGTAGTAGAGCAGGGCTGTCAAACTGGATTTCTCCGAGGGCCAGATCAGCATTGGTCGGGCCGGCGGGGGGGGGATGAGGAGTGGGAGAGAGAGACAGGACAGATGCCTCCTGCAGCACCCTGCCCCCCCCCGCTACGCCCTGTTTTGGCTGGCAAAGTGCTGCAAGAGGCCGTCCAGGCTGAAAACGGGGGGGCAGGGGGCCATGCACAGCCCCCCCTTTGGCTGCCAGAGGTACCGCGAGCCAGTCCTTTGCTACTTCCAGCCCAGATTTAAGAACCTCGCGAGCCGGATCCAGCCTGCTGGATTTGTGTTTGACACCCCTGTGGTAGAGCATTGCCGAAAACATGTAACATTTCTAGCCAAGCAGGGCTGTTATCCATGATTATCACTCAGTAGTATAGAAAAATTGAGAAGACAGGCATTTACGGGATAAACAGCTATAAAAACAAATCAAATGCTATTAGTACAAAGCTGGACTTAATCTGCAAACTATTTTGCTATTTGGAATTGAACCCATAGGGGGACTCAAACATAAATTAATAAAAGCAGGGAAGAATTTATAAGAAGGAAACAGGTGTTTGTATGTAAAAACCAGATCCTGAACATCAGGCTTCAGAAAGCAAAAATAGGGTTTGTAGGACACCTCATTGTACACCTTGTATGAAGTAGATGCCATTCTCATCAGCCTATTAAAAATGTTGGACTGGAATGAAATCTATTTTAAGAAAGAGACTTGGCTTGGATTAAGATGTAAATGACAGAACTGCTGAACTCTGCTATAATAGCCCATTAGAAGCAATTGAGCTGCCCAAGCATATTACGTTTAAATAAATAACTTTAGGCACCGCAGGTAAGGGTGCTTTCAGTTTAATTTTAATTTTTATTTCCTAAATGACGACAGCAGAAGGAAAAAAACAATTTGTGAAAATGATAAAAAGAATGCAAAGGGATTGGGCAAAATTGCTAGTGAGGCCTAGCCAGAGAATAAGTTTGTTTTTTTTTATATGAAGTCGTATTTTGAAGCAGTGTCTCTAAAATAGCAGGGCTTGATAGTCCATAGGTTGAAAAGAAATTGAAAGGTGGACTTTCTACAACATTAGCTCTGCATGATTAGAATTTGGGGGCCTATGTAGTACAAAATGAGTGTACATAAAAGGAGAGGTCTGTTATGTCCTTTGGGCACTGGCAGCGGGACAAAGAGAGCCTTAGTGAAGAGGTCACAGTCCCCACATTGCTTTCAACTTTTAAAAAAACCCTGCAGACCTTCTAGAACAGGACTGTCAAACTCAAAACCCCTGGGCCGGGGTGCTTAGATCTGGCCCGCGGGTTTGGTCTGGAAATAGCAAAGGACCGGCTGGTGGTGCCTCTGCTAGCAAAAATGGGGTGTGGAGGGGGGGCATGTGCCTTCAGCGATATGTTTTGGTCGCCAGAATGCTGCAGAAGCCATCAGGGCCCAAAAGGGGGCCTTCGGAGTGCTCCATGAAGCCATCCAGACCCAAAACAGGGCCTCCAGAGTGCTGCAGGAAGCCATCCAGGCTGAAAACTGGGCCTCCGGAGCGCTGGGATCAAGCGGACGCAGTGGCTCAGTGGCTAAGATGCTGAGCTTGTCAATCGAAAGGTTGGCAGTTCAGCGGTTCGAATCCCTAGTGCTGCATAACGGAGTGAGCTCCTGTTACTTGTCCCAGCTTCTGTCAATCTAGCAGTTCGAAAGCATGTAAAAAATGCAAGTAGAAAAATAGGGACCACCTTTGGTTGGAAGGTAATAGCGTTCCGTGCACCTTTGGCATTTAGTCATGCCAGCCACATGACCACGGAGACGTCTTCAGACAGTACTGGCTCTTCGGCTTTGAAACAGAGATGAGCAGTGCCCCCTAGAGTCAGGAATGACTAGCACATATGTGCAAGGGGAACCTTTACCTAGGAGCTAGTGGGGCAGGTTAGTGCTTTTTCATGCATGTAGTAAGAGGAATCAGTTAGGAAAATACAGGAATATATGGAAGTTGTAAATTGCCTGTATAATAGAGACTGAGAATAGAAGAATTTTCTTAGCAGAGTAGGAAAGCTGATTGTTTGTATTACAGTATTTGCATTAAAAGCACCAGATTTGGGGAGAGGGGTGGGCAGGAGAGGAGCTGAAGTGAGCCAGGAGAAATAATGGAGGATTTAAGCTCAAGATGTCCAGACTTTTTCAGTTTACTCATGGGAACAATAAACTCTACATAAATTGAGACTGTAAATTGTTGATTTGACAGATTGGTGTCTGGACCATGTTTGCTGCATAGTCCTTTTATAACAAATCATACTCAGGAGCCCGATACGCTCTTTGTGCACCTGGTTTTTTCCACCCCTCTCCAGTTCTATTATACAAGTGGTCCTTGGCTTACAACAGTTCATTTAGTGACCATTCAAAGTTACAACGTCACCGAAAAAGCAACTCAGGATGGTTTTTCACACTGATGACCATTGTGGCATCTTCTGATCATTTGGCAACTGACTCCTCATTTATGACAGCTGCAATGTCCTGGGATCATACAATCACCTTTTGTCACCAGATTAACCTTAACAACCGTGTGACTAACTTAACAACTGCAGTGATTCGCTTAACAATTGTGGCAAGAAAGGTCGTAAAATGGAGCAAAAGTCAGGTAACAAATATCTCACTTGGAAAAAAGAAACTTTGGGTTCAATTGTGGGCGTGTGTCAAAGATTACCTGTAAATTACAAGTGGGTGGGTATTGTGTGGATATATGTGACCGGTTTTTTGGTGTTTTGTTTTTTTTTGCACTCATGGTGACTGATGCATACCATTTAAATATACTGGTTTTCCACATTATTGCCCTCAAAGCAGAGGTGGTATTCAGCAGGTTCTGACCAATTCTGGAGAATCAGTTGCAGAAATTTTGAGTAGTTTAGAGAACCGGTCAATACCACCTCTGACTGGCCCTGCCCCCATCTATTCTCTGCCTCCCGAGTCCCAGCTGATCGGGAGGAAATGGGGATTTTGCAGTAACCTTCCCCTGGAGTGGGGAGGGAATGGAGATTTTACAGTATCCTTCCCCTGCCACGCCCACCAAGCCACACCCATAGAACCGGTAGTAAAAAAATTTGAATCCCACTACTGCCTCAAAGCCCCAAAAATCACATCTTGCTGTGCAATTCCATCCGAAAAATGTTCTGGGGAATTGCACCCTTTACACTTTTAGAACCAAGAAGCAAGAACATGAAGTAGTTTTTGAAAAGATATAAATGCAGACATTCCAATGCGGATAAGGAAATTTGATATTTAACTACAGGTAGTCTCCCACTTACAACCACAATTGAACCCAAAATGTCTGTTGCTAAGGGAGACAGTTTTTAGGTGTGTTTTGCCCCGTTTTACGACCTTCCTTGCCATAGTTGTTAAGAGAATCAGGGCAGCTGTTAAGTTAGTAGCACAGTTGTAAAGTGAATCTGGCTTCCCCCATTGACTTTGCTTGTCAGAAGGTCGCAAAAGGGGATCACATGACCCTGGGACACTGCAACCGTCCTAAGTACATGCCAGTTGCAAAGCATCTGAATTTTGATCATGTGACCATGGGAATGCTACAACAGTGATAATGTGAAAAGCGGACATCAGTCGCTTTTTTCAGAGGTTTTGTAACTTCGAACATTTACTAAATGAATGGTTGTAAGCCAAGGAACACCTGTGTACCGTTTTATGGAATCTGTTTTATTTGTCTGGTTTTCCTTTTTTAACATACATTAGAACCAGAGCTTTGCAAAGGTTTGATCTTCTTTACATACATTTGCAGGATCTATTATTTTGGGTGTTTTAAATTTGCATTCTTAAGCATATCCTGTAGCTTTATGAAACATTGTTCTTTTCTCTAATGAAAAGTGATTGTAATGCTATTCACATTTATTTGAAATTCCGTATCTAAGCTGAAAAGCATATTGCAATATACAGATGGGAGTCTTGAGTCAGATACTTAAAATATGTTTTTAGTTGAGCCTGCTTTAAAAATTCAGTCATACATCATCAGTTTTAAATTTCCCGGTTTTGCTGCTATAATTACCAAAAAGTGTGATAAGCAAAGAATGGGAAGGCAGTTTCTTCCTTCTCGTTCCCCTGTTTTGTCTGTATTTGCACATTGGTCTATATACATAATATTACAACTCCCCTTGGAGCTCCGACTAGCGCCTGACCTTCGCACCTTCCGCCGGGAATTAAAAACTTGGCTTTTCAAATCCCTTGACCTGGTCTGATGACGGGGTTTTAAGGGTTTTAATGGGTTAATTTTAAATTTTTTAGATTTTAGTCTTTATTTTTATTGTGGCTTGTTTTTTATTGTTGTGAGCCGCCCTGAGTCCATTGTGAGATAGGGCGGCATATAAGCCGAATAAAATAAATAAATAAAAATAAATAAAATAAATACAAAGTTTAGATTTTTAGTTGGAAGACCTGCCCATTTTGTACCAAGCATTGCAATAAGCCAAGATACCCATATATTCCCCCTCCCCTTCGTTTCCAAAAAAGGGAACAAAAAGACCAAAATTCTCCCCTCCAGCAATCACCACCCAGATGAGCATAGATTAACTCCAAGATTAACATCAGACCAACAGTCAAGTAAACAATACCCCAATCAAGGAATCTCCAATCAAGTGAACAGTAAACAGCCCAAGAACCTCTAAGACCATCTCCACCAACACTGACAATGCAAGCCATTAGAATATAAACAGAACAAACCACTCCTTACTAGCACTGATGATGTTACCTACTTAGGGTAATGAAACGTCTGCAAGAAAACAAGCAAGCTCAGAGAACACCAAGGACCCCTCAGTTCAACCCTGAGCTACAAATATTCTCCTTTATGGATATATTTTTTCCAGTTTTCATCTAAATACCCCAGAAGTAGCTTCTTGTTCTTTCCCTCTAACGTGGTTGTAATTTGGTTTTCTGGAACGCCAGGTTCCAAATGAAATGTACTTCACTTATTATAACCAAGATCACCAGGTTTTTGGAGTACCAACAGTTTACTTTTCCTATACTTTTTCAAAAGCCAGTCATCCTCTGGAGAGCTTTCTCCTCCACGCTCTTGATGTTTGAAGGGTTATGGCTTTCTATCTCCATTCTGCCGGTTCCTTTAATAAGAATCGGTGCTTATTCTGTTACTATTTGGGTCAAGGCAAATTACATAATTTCTCCTTAATATTTTGCTAAATGGGTCACAGCCCTTACTAGGTAGGCTATGTTATAACCTAATTAGGCAGTCATGCCTTGTGGGTAATCAGAGTCATTTGATAAAGACCATGACCTCTTTGTGGCTACGTTGAAAAATCTATTGTCCTCAAGTCAACTGACTTTTCATCTGGCTGATCTCTTTGCTGCTCTTTCGTTTCAAATAAACAAACCTACACAGTGCCACAATGAAGATGTTGATATATCACAGTTCTTTTGGCCAGCCAACCATCCTCTGCTCTCCTTAAGCTCAATGATAATTTATCATGATTAGGATCTGCAGGACTGAGAGAAGTTTACATTTCAGCATTAAACAGTAGATCACGTGTATTATGGATTCGAAGGGCTCTCACAAAAAAATAATAATAGTAGTAAAATCTGGGGACATCCAAATAGCCTATTGCACTAGCACAGACCCCTTCTATATAAGTTTCATGGCTAATCTAGTCCCTAGGGGACAATCATTTAAATATGAGCCAGCAGCTGCCCAAAAAGCCAACACAGTTCTAGGCTGCATAAACAGAGGGATAGAACCAAGATCACGTGAAGTGTTAATACCACTTTACAATTCCTTGGTAAGGCCACACTTGGAATCCTGCATCCAGTTTTGGTCGCCACAATGTAAAAAAGATGCGGAGACTCTAGAAAGAGTGCAGAGAAGAGCAACAAAGGTGATTAGGGGACTGGAGGCTATAACATATGAAGAACGGTTGCAGGAACTGGGTATGTCTAGTTTAGTGAAAAGAAGGACTAGGGGAGACATGATAGCAGTGTTCCGATATCTCAGGGGCTGCCACAAAGAAGAGGGAGTCAAGCTATTCTCCAAAGCACCTGAAGGCAGGACAAGAAGCAACGGGTGGAAACTAATCAAGGAGAGAAGCAACCTAGAACTAAAGAGAAATTTTCTGACAGTTAGAACAATTAATAAGTGGAACAACTTGTTTCCAGAAGTTGTGAATGCTCCAACACTGGAAGTTTTTAAGATGTTGGATAACCATTTGTCTGAAGTGGTGTAGGGTTTCCTGCCTAAGCAGGAAGTTGGACTAGAAGACCTCCAAGGTCCCTTCCAATTCTGTTATTCTAAATTCTATTGAACCTGTTACAGCTAAAGAACCAGCTATTTCTCTACCGTCTTATTATTGCTAATTGCCTGCGTTAATTCAGCTCATTGCCACCAATATGGGTCATAATGTAACAGTTAGGATCATATTTAAAAAGATAAACATTTCCCTGTCGGTCATGTCCAACTCTAAGGCACGGTGCTCATGTCTAACTCTTGAACAAGGCAACCACCATTATCTGAAGACATTTTCCACTGTTACTTCCCACTGAAGTGGTACCTATTAATCTACTTGCTCAGGTCTCAAACTGGGCTGCCAGCTCTCCAGCTGACAAGCTCAGTGTCTTTAACCGCTGGATCAAATTATCCTTCATCAAAGTTATAATGTAATCTTGGGAACGTAAAAAAGCAAACTATAGAAAGGTATTCTGTAATCATTTCTGTGAGCAGCAGCCTTATCCTAACCAAGATAGTTCTAGAATTGACATTAATCTGCATAAATGGTACAATACAGTAGTAAGCCTATGGCTGAGTGGTTAGATGTTGGTGGTTAGGAAGTGAATTGTGAAGTTTTACATGGGAATATAAAGTAATGATAAGAGTTCAGAGAGATATGGACGATGTTGAGGGTTTGAGGCACATGCAGGAAAAGGAAATGGGAAAGAAATGTAAATGTTGGTGAAATAGATTTGAAACTAACCAGAGGAGCCATAGTCATGGTGATTAAGAGCTTTCAGTACTTGGACTTCCTGGAGAAAGTGGCAGAGATCCAAGGCTCCCAATTGGTCAATCTAGAGCTACTTGGGGGTCTGCAGTTTTATTTTCTGATTGTTGCCTTCACATTTTAGTGCTCTGTGTTTAATGTCTTTTATAGATTTATATTTTAAAGCTATAAACTGCAGGAAGTTCATGTAGTTTATAATGTACTTCATAATTATGGACTGTATTGTATTATTTATAATATAATTATAAGTACAACCAACCTTCCATAAACCAGTGGATTATGATAAATATTGAGCCTTCCCAAAATAGAACACACAGGCTGGCCGGACATATTCTGCCAAGCAAACAAATCAGATAACCATGAGGTGGCAGCAAAAAGCTAGCTTTCTGTGTCTCTTTGCTGCCCTTTAGTGGTCATTTTGATTTTGCAGCCTCGGATAGGAAGCTCCAATAAAGCCATTAGCACAATGGTCATTATTTAATCAAGAATCAAAGCTTCTTAAAACTTTGCTTCAAAGCCATGGCTCAACACCGATATGTGTACAACTACGAAGTATGAATAAGATTACTGTGTCTGATATTTTTTTAAAGGGCAGGAACTGAAGAAGAGAGATGAGATAGTTTATTGTGGTATGTTCCTATCCAGTCTTTTCCGAGACTAGTTTCCAAAACAGCAAAAAAAACCTGATGAATTTGTCCATATAATTTAAGTAGAAGTTAGTCTAGCAGTTTTAGCCCCCAAAAAAGGTCAGAGTAAATTTTGCCCTTAAAGAAGGCATTACTTTTCTCCTACAGTAATGCTATATATCAGAACAAGAGAGACAAAATTAGTTAACATCACAGGAAGGAGATCTAATCCAAGCAAGGTGTTCTGGAATTTTTAGAGACTGTACAAACATTGTCTGTTGTGATGACCTTAACTTAAAGCTTCTTGGCAATTATGCATAGATAATGCTAATCAATTTTGTAAGTGCTAATTGCGGTCCTTTGGGCAGCATGTGTAATATTATCAGAATGGTTTCTAAGTCCTTCGTCATGTGGATTGTTTCTTCCTAGAATTACTTTCCTACTTATTTAGACAAAACAAATCAAATCAAATCAAAAGACTTCTATATTTTCTACCAAGAATCCTGCAATCCATTTATGCAAAGGGTTTATCATCAAAAGGGTTGAAGTACATTCGAGGATATTAATGTGGAAAAGGGAGATATTAAGGATGCAAGCAGCTTCGTGTGTCACTCCAAACATAGGATGTTTATGGTCCCCAGTGATTCAATTCATCTTTTAAAACATCTTCTCAAATTAGGGCTTATTGTAATATATGAACCAGTCAGTCATAACTACCAATTGTCGTTCTTGGTGCCCTTCGCTTGCTGTTAACTTTAAGGTTACAAGAGCTGGGTTCCCTCAGTCAACACACTAACTCCATTGTTCTTTTTTTCTGTTCTGCAGCAAATTGACGGCGAAGCTTTTCTTCTCCTCAATCAGTCAGACATCGTTAAAATCCTTAGCATCAAACTGGGGCCTGCACTGAAAATATATAATGCAATCCTCATGTTTAAGACAGCAGAAGAAGACTGATGGAGAGATTTTCCTCTGGGCCAGGGGGACAGAGCTGTGAAGGACCTCCAAGTGCAGCTCGACAGCAAAGCGCCCAATCTCCTGTTTGTTCCTAAAGACTGAGTTGATTGGAAGCTCGGAAAGAAAGCGGCCAGATCATATTTCACATGGTTGTGGATAGAGAATTCTGAAAGCATTCTGAAATTCAGTCCCGTCGGCAGCTTGGAACGGATGCGATGGCTTCCCTTCTAGGAAGAGATGTTTATTATTATTTTTTTTTCCTAATTGAATTTGGATATGGTTATATTGATCTTTTGTAAAGATCTTGATGATGCCTCTAGTTATAAGAGGAATCCTGAGTATTTCTATTGATGGGAAGCTAAGTTCAAGCAAACTCACTTACCTATTGTAGTGCCTAACAGAGAATCTGGCTCACCATTGGTGTGCTTCTAAACTTACAACTGGGTTTAAGAGAGAGTAAGGGAAAGAGTGAGATACTTTAAAGCAGTGCAGATGAATTACTCATCAAAGTCCTTTGTTGGTAGCCGGTTAGTTTTAAACCTTGTCCTTGTATCTTGTTTAGCTATTTAAATATTGGCAATTAATATTTGATGAATTGGAGAAATGAGGTCCATCTCCAAGTAGATTAATTTTTCGGGTTATTATGCCTGTTTTGCACACTGCACAATTTCAGAGTTCAAAATATTAAATTAAAACTGTTAAATAAAGACCACTGGATATGGTTCCACTGGAAGGTAGACCAACTATTTAAGTATAGGATCAGAGTAACAAAACTATGAGATTATGTGTTTTGTTTAGTTTTGTTTTTTTTTTAAAGTTCCTATCTTCCTGCAGGTCAGTGCAAGGTAGAATGAGATATATAAAGAGGCACATCCAGTTTTGTCATGATATGTGTTTCTGGCAAGGTTTACGGGAGGTTTTGTAAAACAAGTACTGACAGTCCCTATTTCTTTGTTTTTGAAAGTACTGTTGTTTTATGAACAGGTATATTAGCTGGAGCATATTCTCATTTTAAGTCAGAAAAAGCTAAGCATACCGGCCACAGAGCATTGCCTGTCATTTCAGTTGGGCTTTTGTCAAGGGTTTCTCAGGTCTTGCTGAAATATAAAATATATTCCATCTGCATAGCACTAGTGCCAGTTGTCAGAAGTCTTCAAATTTGTCCTTCCGATGACCTATGGATCTAAGGAAGCCTTTTTGTGCCACAGTACAGGGTGGGGGGGGGGGAGTGGAAATGTTTTACCCCAACATTGCTATCGCTTTCTCAGTCTTGAGAACAAAATCCAAATATTTTATATTCTGCAAGAGCAGGGTCTCCAAACTTGACCAACTAGAAGACTTGTAGACTTCAACTCCCAGAATTCCCCAGCCATCCATGCTGGATGGAATACATTTTACATTTCATGCTGGCTTGAGGAATTCTGGGAATTGAAGTCCATAAATTGCCAAGTTTGGAGATCCCTGTGCTAGAGGATACTCTGTGGGAGATTTTGATAGAGCAGAGCCATTTGGTTGGATGAGAAAATGAAAACTGTAATGCAAGGCAGCAACAGAACATGGAAATGGACCAATCTGTCAGAAGTCTTCTATGGTCTTCTAAAAGGACAGCACAATTTTGGGGGAAAAAAAATGATTTGTTTGTCATGATGTTACTCTTGTGCAAGTGATGACTGAGTAAGTATCCTTTACATCTAACACTATTCAGTTTTTTTTTTCACTAACCACCTATGCATAACTTGGAACAAGGCATTCTTTCTTAATGGCACATAACCTGCTCTTCCTAGGACACGTACATTGATTGACCTGATGTTTTTCAAGCAGGAATTCTTGAACTAATCAAATGAGGTCTTGTATTTATTTTGTGTGATGCCACTTGTTGGCTGGGTGAACATCAGTCTCAAAAAAGCTTTTGGGTACCATAGAAATGATGGCGTCCTACTGTGTCATTCATCCCTTTCTAAAGCATGAGCTAACAAGGGATGTATGTTTTCCAGTGTGTTGGCGGCAGTGCACTTTTGGTAATTTGTCGTTGGCTTTACAAGTGAATATGAAACCAGCCTTATAAATGAATTTAAAGAGAAAACAGGGATGATGTTGGCATTTGAGTTACTGCCTCTTCACAGCTATCTCTGCTTCTGATTTCCCAAATTTGTAAGACTCCCTTCCTAAAATCAAGGTGACACAAAAAAAAATGTGGAAATATTGCACAATCCAGGCTGCTGAATCTGAACAATATTGAATAAATCTGCAGTGGCAATATGTCTTGTATCTTTCTATTTGTATATAAATCATTAAAAGAATATAAGCCCGGTCACTTAAGGAGAAGGATTGAGAGACTGAACAAGAAGATGCTGATATTGCCATACTATGTAGCTTCTCTTCTACTAGGAGAACATTCTTAAAAAGCAATTTTAAAGTGATGTGAGAGAAGAATTGTAGAAGGTCTTCCTCTTTAATATTCTCTAGCTGTATTTGTTTAAAGAAAACCACTGGGGCAGAATGTTTAAGAATGTTACATCTTTCAGAATCCTTTTACAAAGCAGTATTTTTTGAACAGAACCCTCATAAGTGAGTTTCTTTTCTCTAAAGTGACTTCTAGGATAGTTTTGCTAATTAGGATTTTAAACGTAGGAATAGTCTAGTGCTGTGATGGCGAACCTATGGCACGCGTGCCACATGTGGCACAAGGAGCCATATCTGTGGGCACATGAGCATTGCCCCAGCTCAGCTCCAGCGTGCATACGCTTGCTGGCCCCCTGATTTTCCAACCTTCCGGCCCTACCGGATGTTGGGAAACGGGCTGTTTCTGGCCTCCGGAAGGCCTGCGGGATGGTGGGGAGGCTGTTTTCGCCCTCCCCAGGCTCCTAGAAAGCCTCTGGAGCCTGGGGAGGGCAAAAAATGGGCCTACCGGGCCCACCATGCCATCATGTGCCGACAGTGGGTGGAGCGCAGGGGAGTTGCACGCACATGCACAGGGGGGTGGGCACATTGAATTATGGGTGTGGGCACGCATGCACGCGACACCCCCCCCCCCCGTGACCTCACTTTTGGCACGCGACAGCAAAAAGGTTAGCCATCACTGCTCTAGTGGTTGTGTATGGCCCTGTGAGATGAAAATGATGGTTATTAACAAAACAGGTTATCACGTTTCTCCTATCCCTCCTGTAGCACTTGGTCAGTGAAAGGGTTAGTAGTTGAGGAAACACACACACACACACAAGATCGATTGACTTGATCAATTGATATCCCCAGGGGGTTACATTTAAATCAGCATATACCCAGCCATGTGCAGTATTACTTCAGCTCTACTCAGAGTTAATTCTGCCTTGAGGACATCTAAGCCTGATTACCTACTTAGTCCACTAAGGAAAAAAAAAACCTAGAAAAAGAAAGAGCATCTGCAAAAGCAGTAGTGAACTTGCTTCCGAGACATGGAACTCCCAGAATCCATGCTCCGTTTATTATTATTATTATTATTATTATTATTATTATTATTATTATTATTATTATTATTATTTATTATTATTTTGCAGTAGTCAAGCCAAGTTCCAAAGGTGCTTTTTCAGGAGGCAATTGGACTTTCTTGCTTTTTGTTTGTTTTTTTTTTGTTTTGCTTTTTTCTTTTCTTCCTTGAAGACGTTTTGCTTCTCATCCAAGAAGCTTCTTCAGCTCTGACTGGATGGTGGGGAATGGAAGGATTTATACTCCTTGCAGACAGCTGGTCATTTGCATCCTTTTAGAGGGTCCTCGAAGCACTTGGAGATTTATCTGTGTCCTCAGGGTCACCTGAGTAGTGCAAATGGTTCCTGTAGTCTGCAATTTTTCCTCTGGGAAAAACAAAAAGTCCATTTGCCTCCTGAAAAAGCACTTTTGGGACAACCATGACCTGGATGACTGAGAATCTCCACAGACTTTTAGTCAAGCCATGGTTCCTTGGAGGTAGTGATGGTACAATGAAGCCTGGTTGGTCTCTCCTGGCACAAGAACTCCTGGAGAAGGAGTCATTTCCTAGAGAGGGATCTCAAGCATGCAACACCAGCCTTCCAAATGACATCCGGTGGTGAGAACATATCCAATACACCTTCCTCTTATTTTCCTCACAACATCAACCATCTAAGGTGAGTTAGGTTGAGAAAAAGTGGCCTGAGATCACCCAACTTTCATGGCTAAGGCAGGACTTGAACTCACAGTCTCCTGCTTTCTAGCCCGGTGCCTTAAACCACTAGAGACCAAACTAGTATTACATATACTATATAATAATATTATACAGGGCAAGAATGAAATTTACAAATGAGGGGAAAAAAGCAGAAAGGAAGAATAATTGCTGTGCGCTGTAACACAAAAAGGAAAAGCAAAATATTTGGGCAGCCTTTGGCGGGATGAGTTTCCTAGGTTATCTCATTTTAGAGAATATATTACTCCTCAACCCGGTAATAAAACTAAATATTGTGTTCTGCTTAATGTAAAAGTCCTACAAGATTACAACCTCTCCATCTCTTGGTGTTCCCGTCTACGCCTACTGCACAAACATATTGTCTCAGTGGTGGGATTCAAATAATTTAACAACCGGTTCTCTGCCCTAATGACCGGCTGGGTGGGTGTGGCCATGGTGAGCGTGGCCAGCGGGTGTGACAGGCAGCACTCGACCTCCTGCACCCCCCTGGGAGCAAAAATGGGCCGTGGGGGTGGGACGTGTTGCCTCCCCCCCCGTGCCCCATTTTGGGCCTAGTAGGCCTCCCTGCAGCCTCCTTGGAGTGAAAACAGGTCACAGGAGGCACACCGCACCCCCTCACGCCCCGTTTTGGGCATAGTAGCCCTCCCTGCACTTACCCAGGAGTCAAAATGGGGCGCGTGGGGACTCCCGGAAGGGGCGGGGTAGGGAGGGGCGGGGCCAGTTAGCAATATAACTACTGGTTCACCCGAACCGGCCCAAACCGGCTGAATCCCACCACATCACTGTACTGTCGAAAATGAAAGGAGTCGTCTGGTTCCGTCTTAGAAGTAGCCATTTCTCAGTGCAGCGTTTTGTTTTAATTCGATATATTTAAGTTTAAAAGCACACCAAGCTTGACTTGAGTGTCTACTCAATAGTTTTGTATCAATGGAGGAAGATTGCAATTGCAATCACAGCCTTTGGACTAATGAATTAATCCTTGTGAAGATCCTTGTCCTAGAGAAAATGAATGGAGACTTTTATTTTCCCCCAAATGATTTTGGGGTGGGTTTTTTTTTTTTTTTTTTTTTTTTTTGCATGTTAGAGAGTTCTGGAGAACTTGAAAGCCTTTGAGTGATATTTTGGCCAGTTGTAATAAAATTATTCCTACCTAGAGTGTGGGTGGAAAGGAGCTCTTGACTTATCCTGCATTCTCCCACAATTTTTGTTTTGCATGCATATATAGCAAAGCTTTATTCCCCCTGCATTTACACAACATTAATCTTCTGCAAAGGCTTAGATGTTTCTGCTTGTCTAGGCATTTCTATCAGTATGGAGACTGCAAGTGAAGGACATAGAAAAGGGGATAAGAAAGTGATTTTTTTAAAAGGTTGACTGCTGGAGTTTGGGTTGCTTGCTTTTTTAAAGTACAAGTAATCCTCGACATATGACCACAACGGAGGCCAAAATTTCATTTGCTAAGCAAGACAATTGCTAAGTGAGTTTTGTACCATTTTACGACTTTCCTTGTCACAATGGTTAAGTGAATCACTGCTGTTAAGTTAGTAACATGTTGTTAAGTGAATCTGGCTTCCTCATTAACTTTGCTCGTCAGAAGGCCACAAAAGGGGATCACGTGACACCCCCCCCAGGACACTGCGACCGTCATAAATATGAATCAGTTGCCGAGGACCCGAACTTTATCACGTAACCATGGGGATATTGCAACGGTCGTAAGTTTGAAAAATGGTCATACGTTGCTTTTATCAGTGTTGTCATAACTTTGAATTGTCACTAAATGAATCGTAAATCGAGGACTACCGGTAGTTACGTTTGTGTCTTACATACGGGTAGTCCTCGACCTACGACCACAATTGAACCCAAAATGTATGTTGCTAAGTGGAACATTTGTTAAGTGAGTTTGCCCCATTTCACAACTTTTCTTGCCACAGTTGTTAAGCGAATCGTTGCAGTTGTTAAGTTAGTCACATGGTTGTGAAGTGAATCTGGATTCTCCACTGTTGTTGCTTGTCGGAAGGTCGCAAAAGGGGATCACGTTGACCCCAAGGCACTGCAACCGTCGTAAATAGGAACCACTTGCCAAGAATCTGAATTTTGATCACGTGACTGCGGTAACGCTACATCGGTCGTCAGGGTGAAAAACTGTCATAGGTCAATTTTTTTAGTGCCGTTGTAACTTTGAATCAGAGGTGGGTTTCACAAATTTTTACCACCGGTTCACCACGTGCACGCTCGCTTTGCACGTGTGCCTTCCACATATGTGCCCAGCCTCAAAAACATGGCTAAATAGAACAGCATAGTGCCAGGGTGAGTGGGCGGGCCGCTACCGGTTCACATGAACTGGTACGAACCGGCTGAATACCAGCACTGCTTTGAATGGTTGTAAGTCAAGGACTACCTGTATTAGCTCTGATACTTTGGACTCTGTTAAGTCTTCCTGTTCTCGAACGAGAGAAACCAGACGAAATCTCCATTCCGAATGCATGATGTTCTAAATTTAGATTCCCTCCCCTTCAATTTCCTCTCAGCAAGGAGCCCTGATTAAAATTTTCTGTTCTATCAGAAACGATCATTGACATCATCTGACATTAGTAAATTTCAGCTCTGGGAGATGCTTTGCTATCAGGATGTGCACGGAATGACAGCAGTCGCCGGAAACATTACAGGGAAAGTTTTTGAAAGGGGGGAAAAAGAAAAAAGAAAATAGTTAGCCCAAAGGAGAAGCGAATTGGCCATGAGACTTCAGTCATGCTCTTTTCCGTGCCCGGAGGAAGAGATTCCATCTAGAAAAAGCTTTAAGTGTTTGACAGTCTCTTCAGCTATGTGGTGATGAGGGAGCCCAGTTCTGAAATGTCCTATTACTTCAATTTGAGATACATGCAGAACAAGAAGCAGCTGTCAGAGGGAGTTTGGGTTTCAGTGCTGGACATCAGTTTGCTCTTTTTCCTGCCCTGAAAAGTGGACCTTGAAAACGTATCCTGTTCTATCTCCTCAGGTCTGCTAAAAGAGGCAAATGAAGAGGTTCCTTCGAAAGGGCCAGCTATGGAAGAGGGAGAGGGAGAATGGGATAGGGATAGGGATAGGG